GAACTGGGCCCTCTAAATAGCTACTTTCAGTGAACAAAACAACCTGCTGCTAATCTGTTGTAGCTCCTAAACTACAAAGGGAAGATCCAATGGCATAAGTAGCCCAGAAGGACCCCATAGTTATGCTCTCTGTATTTGACAAAGCCTAGATAAATTAGATGTGCAAATAATCATATGATAATGTTTCCTCTATATGTATCTATTTTATGTATTCAGTTCATGCTTATACTTATATATATTCCCTAATACGTTCTTGACAAATAAATAAAAATAAATGATCTTTCCTTTTCTTTGACTCTGCCCATTCCATACAAATGAATGGGACATAATCTTCAGAACATATTGGAGAGGTAACTACATTTTAAAATTCTTCTAAGTTGGATCCTTGGGTTTATAAAACAGACCTTGAAAATGTATAGTTATTAAGCCATTGACTTCAACAAGATATCCCAGTGCTTTCTTAGTCCATGATTAGGCGATATCAAATAATGATATCTTTACCATCTTGCCCTCCTTTACTTCATTTGATTATGGGTATAAGCTTATTGACATCACAAACAATATCTCCAGGACATTTCAAGTGGTCCATATAAGCTAGCCTTGGCCATATCATTCTGGGTTCAGAATAGCAGGCCTTTTGAGTCAGGGATGGAGCAGAACGTACCTAGTATTGACCCAAATCCATGACTTCTGCAGGTTTAAAGGACTTGGGAAGAAAGTTGGGAGTGGGTTTCAGTGGAATCATGCCACTAAGGCAATAGTCAAATATCTATAGTGCAAAATATACTATAATATATTATAGTGTAATACATATAGTAAGATGGGCTCCAGCACGAGTCCAAAAGCTCGGAAGACAAAACCTCTGGTCCTGGTGACTGACCCAAATTGGATCCTACAACATTATCCTGGGACCTCTACATTCGCCTTCAATCATTATAATGCATTTGGTCTTACTGTAAAAAAGAGTATAGATTAAAATTGTATGAATTTGTAAAAACATTGTGAAACAGGAACTATCGTTTCCTAGAAATTGCCTTAGCAATGCAGAACAGTAAATAACAAAAGAACAGACTAACAAACTGGATTTATTTGAATAAAGATTGCATAAAGTATTTTCATTATGTGGAAGCACGTTACATTAGGTATTACATGCAACATTATTGTGGCGCTCTTTCTTGGTAATTGTAGAACAATTGCTGGAGTTGTGCTAAATGAATAAATGTAAGTAATCTAACACGGGGGTCCCCAACCCATGATCCGTGGATCGGCACTTGGCCATGGCATGCCAGAAACTGATCCACACAAACAAGTGAAGCTCCATCTACAGGATGGAGGTAGCACATGAAACCACATTCCTTCCGGTCCACGGAAAAACCTCTCTCCATGGAACTGATCCCTGGTGCCCAAAAGTTGGGGGCTGCTGTTCTAACAGATCTCAAAAGTGGGTCAAAGGCCCAAAAATCCAAACGTATTTAATGCATTTGTATACTATTCATTTTCAATGAATCTGTACTGCACCAGTGATGGCTAACCTTTTCTGGACCGAGTGCCCAAATTGCATGAACCCCCAAAATGCAATATGTGTGCGCCCCCACATGCGCCCACTCCACCACATTCATGTGCGCCCCCCGCATGTGCCTACCCACTGTGTATGTGTGCATGGCCCCTGCATGCGCCCCACCTCCCACACATACGCGTGCATCCCTACATGTGCCCGTGTGTGTGTGCGTGGCCCCCGCGCATGCGCGTTGCCCCCATACATGTGCATGTGGCCCCACACATGCACCCCACCCCCACGCATGCGCGGCAGACATCCGAAGACCAGCTGGCTAGTGGGAGGTGCGCGCGCATGTGTGGCACAGCTTAGGTGACGGCTCACGTGCCCACAAGGAGGGCGCTGCGTGCCACCTCTGGCACCTGTGCCATAGGTTCGCCACCACTAATATATATACTCTGGAAGCTGGTGAGAAAGCAGAGAAAAAAATGAAACAGACCAAAATCCTACTCACAATATAACCATCTCATGCATTTCCTATTTCCGTGAGGTCCTCAAGCCTGCTACAAAAATAAAGTTTTAAGAGATTTTAAAGTTAGTAGACTTGGAGCTCACCTCGTCTCAAGGGTGGGGAGTATGTTCTGCAGCAGAAAAGACTCACCACCTGGTCCTGTCAGATGGAACTCTCTTGGCAAGAGAGAAGAAACCTTCTTTGTTTGCATCGTAGATGCTGGTGGGTGGAATCAGGCTTCTTAAGGCATTTCCCGACAGACGTCCCATCAGATGGAACTGTTTAGCAGATAGAAGCAGGATATTAAGGAGCCTCTTGCCAAGCCTGATTCCATCCACCAGCATCAAAGAAGGACCTGCTTCAGGTTTCCTCTCTCTGGTCAAGAGGTCATGGGGACATAGACCAGGAACTGGGCCTTCTTAGTGGTCTCTCCTAGTTTATGAAAAACATTCCCCATAGAGGCACAATTAGTTTCAAGCTAATTCAGGACAACCTCAAAAGAGTTTTATTTCAGAGAGCTTGAGAGCCCTAGGATGTTGCTGGTATACCTTTCGTTTCGTTTTGTTATTGTTTGTGATTGTTTTTCTCTTACAACAATATTGAATATTTTTATGTATGATGATATTCATGTGATGGGTTGCTCATGTACCCATCTGGATTTGTTCGGGCTGAGGTGGTAGTACAATTTCTATCAAATTAAGGAATGGGTAAAGATTCATCCATTCTACCCTGGAGAGTAGCACATTGCAGTTATACTACACTGTTCATTCTGTTTGCTATGGCTGTGGGGAACATTTTGTTTGCTGCAAAGCAAATTATCCATGAATTTCAGATAGGCCCCCACCTGCAAAACAAAAGGCAACCCCCCCTTTCTATGTTTCCCACTATCATACCGTCAAGAATCTTTCACACTAACGTCTGGCACTAAACTTGATTAATTATACAATTTCATTTGTTTTCTGACTTTGATCTGGTTTGGTTGAAACCACAGCAAAGCTGTTATTTTCCTTTGGATTGCTGTGGGTCTGCAGAACTTGTTGGGCAATTTCCCATAGTTCATCCCACTTCCTGGTTCCTGGCTAAGCCAGCCGTTGCTCACCCCTGCCCCATCCCTAAATATATTGTTTCTAGAACTGCTCTTTCTATGTTTTTAGAAATCATCTTCTCCAATTCCAACTGAGCCACCATCTCAACATGCAACCACAATTGTAGCTACTATGAGAAGCACCTGGTTATTGAATTGCCAGCGTGGTATTTTTTCATTTTCTTAACTCACGGGAGGTTGTAACTGCAATTGAGGAATAGTAGCAAGGCCGGCATGGCATCATTAGATTATTTCAATGCATTACTTAATATGTTTAACTGACCTCCCATCAAATAGCCTCCTTTCATAGCAGTCTCTCAGATTGTTTTGCAGAGCACTGAAAAGTACACCAGAATACCATGCGCTGAAAAATACGAACAATAGAGGGCCTAACAATTTATTTCATTCTTATGTAGAGTGAAGCGAAAGGATTTTTTAAAAACTCCAGAACAAATAGTTGTTCAGGTCTTGAGGGAGACTTTTCTTTGCATGCTCCAATTAGCTGGAGGGAAAGACAAGGTCTATTGACTCAGCATTTTCTGAGTCTTCTCTAAGTTTTGAGGTCAGCAGGAATGAAATCATTTGCAGGTTCCTTTCAGAGTGGAACTGGAAAATGCTGCTGTTGTAGAAATTTTCTATTTTAACAAAAAACATATTTGGAAAAAAAGTTTTTTCATTTGGATAAATACAATAACAGTGATCACTCCCCCACCCCCCAACCAGGTACAAAAGTAAGAGCAAAAAGTATTTAAGAGCCGTGGTGGCGCAGTGGTTAGAATGCAGTACTGCAGGCTACTTCTGTTGACTGCTGGCTGCCAGCAGTTCAGCAGTTCGATTCTCACCAGGCTCAAGGTTGACTCAGCCTTCCATCCTTCTGAGGTCAGTAAAATGAGGACCCAGATTGTTGGGGGTAATAGGCTGACTCTGTAAATCGCTTAGAGCGGGTTGTAACGCACTGTGAAACGGTATATAAGTCTAAGTGCTGTTGCTATTAAATCATATTCACTTCTACAGAATAGTAAAATTACAGAATAACTATGTTGAATAGGTAGCAGTTTTGAGATGTGCTTTCTTGCTGCATAAGTAGATTACCAACGATGCATGATTTTGCTTAAAAACAAAAACAAAGAGCAGAACCCTGACTGCCAACTGCTCTGGGGTAGAGCAAATAAGATTCAGCTTGATTTGAACCTAGGGACATGGACAATCATTACTACCAACTTCTCTCCAGGGATTCAGTTACTCTACTCAGCTCAAGTCTGAGAAACTGGTGGCTCTCCATATTTTGCTATTTTGCAACTCCCAACAGCCCAAACCAGCCTACTATAGGATGCTAGGAGTGGCTGTTCAACAATATCTGGAAGCAAACAGGTTTTCCCATCAGGGTCTTAAGACAAGAAAAGGTAGAGACAAGCATGGGTAATCCCTGGTGGAGTCATTTTCACTACCAAGACATCAAACTAAATTGGACAATCAAGTATGATGAACTGGAGGCTTTGTCTCTTCTTAATATCTTAGTATAAGTTCTTATTGGGGATGACAGGAATTAAACTGTTTTGTCTGTCTAGAGCAATTTATGCATTGAATACTCAATACATTCCTACATGTCATGAGAATTTCTTTTGAGTTGTATGCAAATCTTTCTGAGTTGAAGTTTTGTGAAGTGAATGCCTACGTTCCCATACATTACTTATAATTTGTAGAATGATATAAATCAAATCAAATCTTTAGGAATTGGAATTTATACCAACTGTAGCTAATAGCCCTGGAGGCTGGAAATTTTGCAGAATTATATTCCCAATGGTTAAGGAAACCTTTAATAAATAAATTGATGTTTAGCATATCTGTTCTGTTAGATATATAGTTAAATAGATAGAGATGTTAGGAATAAAATAACGAAGCTGCATATCTTTTACTTTCAAAATCGTTTAATAGTACACATTTGTCTTTGTCATTTGTAAAGTTTTACACATTAAAAAAAAAGACATTTTAATCCAATACTCCCCATTCATTTCACCTTTTGTTGCCCTGACCACATACCCAGTTTTCAATCTCTGTACCCGATATGATATAACAATAAGTTGATTATTAAATACAAAGTTCTAAAATAGTTACTAGATTGTTTATGGACATTGGTACTGTGGCTACTCTAGTAATTTTTGTGAAAGATTCTACATGGGTTATTATAGTCAGGGGGCACAGAAGGAAAGAAGGGGGCATTGTTAGCCCATAAAACTTATTTTCGTTTTCAATTGAGTACATTCTACAGAAGCCAAAAAAAAGTATTTATTGTTTTTTCTTCTTCCAAATTATCTACAGTTTAAATAACCTGTAATCTCTCTAAAAGTTATAGAAATACTATGTGCAATGTTTGCAAATATGGAATTTACATTGTCTTTTTCCCCCCTTTGATGTGGTAGCAAATCTTTACCCTCATAAATTACTATAACCTGGCAAAAACAGAATTGTCTCTTCTTACCAGCAGACACTAAGTCCATAGTATTAAAGTGCCGGTGTGCTTTGAAACAAACTGGATAGAACTTGCCATGAGGGATTAGGAACAGAAATAAACTTTTCGATTAATACATTTTAAAAAATAATGTCGAGCTGCAGCATTAGAGAGAGCTAGAAAGAAATCCAGTTCTAAACACACTCAGATGCACCAAAGTCTTAATGAACAAAATATATATCATATTCCTGTAAATGATGATCAAATCACATAAGTTTTTTTTTCCTTCTATAATGATTACAACATTGAGTTAGCCTACTTATTTGTAGCATACATTACATCTCAGTAGGGATGTTGATTTATTTAAGATTTTTATTTGATTAAAAATGGACTTTTAAATCCAAAAGTCAGTGTCTTAAACATTCATAAATTAGCCTATTACCAAAGCTGTTAGCATAACAAAATATTCCTTTCAATAACAATAATAAAAGCTGTAACATCTCTTTCAAGATTATTCAGTTGCTTTTTTTTCCTGTAATCAAGCTTTCCAATATACTAATTTATTAATATTAGCAGAGTTCAGACCTTAAACCAGTCTCACCTGTAGAGCCCTTTTCCTACATGTCGTCCTCGTTCTTAATTTAGCATATATGTACTAAATATGTGCATAAAGCTACACAACGCAGCTGGGATCAACTATTTTAAGCTATACAACATAGAACAGACATCTCACTCGAATCATAGAAAGTATATGTTAAGCTTGTAGCTTACTTTTTAAATCACATTGACAAACTGAAGTTTATAGTACGGCTTATCATGATCAAAGACAGACTAATACACAGCTATATTAATTCCAGAATTCCATTCGTGCCATGGATGCAAGACCCTTTTGACTGGAGGTACTGGCCAATTTTTTTCTCTCCCCCAGCCACTTTCCTTTGGAAAAATCTTTTCCATAAAGAGAGAGACAACTGACCAAGAGCAGGGGATTTAAGGATTGCATCTATGAGCAACTACTCATCTGCCCCACCTCCTCGAAATGTGTTTAGAACTGGGCAATACATTTTAATTTACATTTGGGAAAGCAGGAAAAAACCAAACCAAAACCTCTTTCTCCTAAGTCTTCTTATTAAAAGGCAAGCCCTCAGTTCACGTCTATTACTAAGATGCTTGGCAGGAATAAACACTGCTCTAGCGATTTCTACAAAAAAAATAATAATAAAACTATGAACAGAATCCTTCTACAGAATCGGTGTACATCTCTTCAGAACCATTGTTTTGCTTTTTATAAAAAAGTCTAATGTTATTTAAAAAAGGCCCAACCCAAAGTTATTTAAAATTCCATGAAGATTATTGCACACACGGTAGTACTTCAATTATATTTTTCAAAAGGGCAAGTAGAAAATATTTGTATCACAAAGTATGCATGCTTTTATTTTCCTGAATGCATTAGCTTACAGTAAGTTATGTATTGATTGGTCTTTATTGAATATAATTCCATGAAGCAACTCCTTAGTTTTATTAATATTCCAACAATGCTTCCCAAGCACCAAAAATATACTAATTTTAATCCCTTTTAATTTGAGTTGTGATAGTTCCTCTCATTTCAAGCAGGCTAATTTTGCATTTTAGTTTCTTCCTAATATATTGCACTTTACCTTACCCAGAGATTGAAGGTGTAGGGCAAAACTGATTTCATATTACTAGACAACTAGTGCATATTTTAACCACTGTAGATACTGTATGTCATTAGGTTGTTTTAGCAAATTAGGCTGTTAGCAGAAGAGCTGATTCACATATTTGTGACTACGCAAAAGGTCTAGAAGAGGGGTCTAGGACAACTCACCCCAGCTAATTCACCATGGCCAACTCATTGTGGGACAATTGAATGCTATATTGTTTCATTCAGTTACTTTTATTACTGGTGACCATGTTTTCATTATCAAATTATTGTAACTTTTGTATTTCTGGATTGACTTTCTTTATTTTATTATCATTGGTCACACTTATTTATGTTATATTTTGTATTGAGTTGTTTTGTGGTGAGTTGTCTGTGCCGAGTTGACCATGGAGAGTTGTCCACGGCAAATTGGCTGTGGTGAGTTGTCCCACCGGACCATATTGCCTAATTCTGATGCTTCTGCATTGCTCTGTCTCATTAACTTTATTGTCTTTGCATGTCAAATTGATCTGAGTTCCATTTTGGGAAAACCATACTGGATGCTGTAGATGGATGAATGGGCAGATGTTCAGAGGAGCATGGTTACATGAGGGAGAGTGACAAAACAAGGGACACAATTCCTTCACTATACATAAGGTTGATTATCTGCAGCTGGCTTCGACGTAGAGAAACCAATTAAGCCAAAAACAAAGGACTGAAATCATTTAGGTCATCATATTGTGCTTTTTCCTACATTTTACATGAGAAGATCACAACGAACTAATTTGTAAGAATTGCACTAATTGCCTATATATTAAAATGATTAATAGGTTCAAGAAAAGTAGTCTTATTTAAGTTGGTGACCTGGTTAGATTTAATTTCCTACTCAATGGATTGGAATAATGACAGCGTTATAAATTGTATGTTTATAATTTTCCACAAGCAGGGTGGCACTAAAGTAAGAGTCTATTGGTATGGAGCATTTTGAAGACTTTGACAAACAACACCTCTGTACTTCAGAGTGATTTAAACAATTACCAGTTGTCAAAATTCATTTGGAGTGTGTTTTTAGGACTGTCCAATGTGAATTGATTTTATAAACATAAAGATACACATTTCAGGGTTTAAAATTATATCCTCATATTCAAACTGGGTTTTAAAATATGATTAGGGATTGTTTTCAATCAATATTTATGTTTGGTTTAGTTTCTATATTTAACAAAATGTGGTCTATATGAGTGCATGACCAAGAATATCTATTGAAGATATTCTGGGTTTAAAGCATTTATTAAGACTGCCATAGTAAATACATTTAACAGAGAGATTAAGCTGAAATCAATTATTTTAGCAAAAATATTCATGTGGCTTGAAAAGCAAGGTCATTTTATCCTATTATTATTACTTTTAAGAATGAATAAAGGGACAATGTGATCCATTAGAAAAGAGCAATTTGGTCACATCAATACTGACAAATTCACATTTGGACTCTAAAAAGGTTCCCCAAATTGTGCCAGCACAAATCTGAGGATCCTTGGATATGCACAATACTGGTTTATCTGAAGAATCATGCTTTTTCTTGGACACAAGAAATCAAAGGTATGTGCAAAAACTAACTTTCTGCTGCATCTTATATTTGCCAAGTTAGGCGAGTACAAGAGAGAGCTGGAGACTGTAAGATATTCAGAGTGTTCTAACTAGATCTTCTAGTAAGAGTTTCTTTCTAGTGAAAGGGTTAATTTTTAACAGGTGAAGCCCAAGTATGCTTGTAACTAAGTTGAGAAGCTTTTGAGAAAGTCTGAAGAAATGAGTCTGTCTCAAATTATCTGATGAACTTTTTGCTTTGGACATTAAGCAACTCCAAGCCCCCCTCCCCCCGATTTTCCTTGTTGGAAGCACCCTGGGGAGATTTCCAGGACCATGAGACCCCTGGGATGCTGCAACTGTCACAAATGCAGGCCGGTTGCTAAATGTCCAAATTTTGTGGGGACACTGCAGTGATCACAAGTGCGAGGATCAATAGTAAGTGACTTTTTCAGCGCTTGTCATAATTTCGAATGATCGTTAAACAATTGATCGTAAGTCAAGAACTACTTGTATAAATAGAACAGCAGCATTTTGGGATCATCTTTTCTATTAGGGCAGAAATAAAAAAAAAGTGCTGTAAAAGCACCTAATGCAAAACATCATACTACTATTGTGCAAGATCTGATGTTTCCATGGTGGCATCTGTGGAAGTCAGATGGTTACCCCCAATGCTTAATTTCTTGGAAAATAATTCTGTGGGTCATAGCATTCTAGAAAAAAGGCTTTTGACTTAAAAAGCCTTACCCCCAATGGGGAATTTTTGCTGCTTATTTAGAATTAGAAAAAAGGAAATGCTTGGGGCATTTTTAATCTATTTGTTCTTCTATTCCAAGGTTAAGCTCTGGCACTGAAAATTGAGACTCCACTAAAATGGAGAAAAGATGTCTAGAACTTGGCATGGTTAATGGTTAAAGCCAAGTGAAGTTAATGCCAACTGGAATTAACTTGCATGGAAGAAATGGCATGTCAGTTTATAAGTATAATAAGTCAGCATCATTAGAGACTCTCTAGTCTCCAGGACTATAATCTGCTAAATAAAACATCTTGACTTAAGTGGGAAAATGAAAAGAAACGAACCTTTCTAGGATTTTTCTTTGAGAATTATTTGAATATCAAAATACAATTGGGGTGTATCTCTCGTAAGCAAGGCTAGTAGAAAAAGTGTGTGTGAGGGGATTGCAATATTGCAAATCAGCATCAATTTAAGTAAAAAAAAATGTTTGTAATTGCCAGTCTGATTTGGCTATACGATGCCCCCTATATGGGGGGGGGGGAAGCCTCATTTAATTTCTACAATTTGTTTGATGATGAAGATGGTGATGAGGAGGAAGAGGAGGAGAAGTAATCATTCTAGATGTTCTGATCATTAAATTGCCAATTAATGAAATCACTCTGGGTTGCCTTTATCTACATTTGATTGATTAGAAGTTAATGTAACTTAAAGTTCCTTCACATAATTCTCCTACTGCAAAATGTGAAGCTATTTTGAAAAATCCTCAGCATTCACCTCAGAGGACGCCTTTATGAGGCTCCAACAGGACACATTGAATGACAACAATATTCTCAGTCTCTCTAGTGGGAACTACGCATTGATCAGGATACACATCCCCTTTGACTGGTCCATGTTGTGCCTGTCACAGTAGCCTGACAAGTTTAGCATATCTCATATCTGTAGGGATGTGAATAAATAATAGGAAACTTCGCCTACTGTATCTGTGGCAAATTTGATTTTCATCCATATGATTCCCTCATTTCAGGTGTATGTCTCCGATCTTCTACCCCTTTCATAGCAGTGGGTGCCATTGAAATAAACAGAATGTACACATTTATACTATGTGTCCCAAGTCAAAGGATGTATTAGTGTTGTTAGACACTGAATATCTGCCACTACGGAGACTGAGTTTCAGGGGAGCATAGCCTTTTCCACAGAGCAATGGTTGCACTTCATAAAGATAAACAAAAATGATAGTTAAGGACTGAAGTTGCTCATATGTAAGGAAATGTCCATTCTACTTGGATAAATGGGCGTGAAATGTTCCAATTGAGATGGATTTGTAAGCAGCTGCCCTTGACTCTCAGGTTAGCTTCTTCCAAAGAGAGAGTGAAAAAAGACTTTTAGGAGTAGGAAATAGCTGGAGTATCATTTTTTCCCTTCTCTTCCAACCTACCAGTGTTGGGCCCAGAGAATGTTTCTCATCCTAAGTATTCCCGCTCCATAAGATTTTGGAGATTATTATGGAAAGCCATGACAAAATATATGTATGCATATTACTGGAAGGCAGTTGAATTCTCAACGTAATGGACATTTTTGCAAATCTGTCTCTTTATACTCTGTTCATTATTTAATTTCTCTATTTTCTTTTGCTTTGCACTGTAATAAAATCCAATTTGGAAATAGATATGGCTAATCTCTGCAGAAAATAGTGGATGGTTCAGTACTTGAAATGCATTATAATTGCAACAATTCTTATTTATGGTCTATTATGGGGCACATGTTCTCTGTAATGCACTAATGGCTACATCTTGTGCTTTGCAAAAGAAAATAAAAGAAAGAATAAAGAAAAAAAGAGGGAGGGTTAAATATGTAATTTTAAAGGTCAAAATATTCATTTAAAAGAAAAATACCAACATAGTCTCAGGAATATTCTGAGGTACATAAAACAAGAGAAAATAAACCAGGTTTTTAAGCCACAAAATGTACTACATACTGCAATACTAGGTTCAATTAATTTAATAAAATAGACTATACATATAGACTCTGAACAATGTATTGCTTTTACCCAAGCAGAACTTATGCTTAAGTAAGCGTGATATAGCTTAACCATTCTTCTACCAGCTAGCTCTTTTTTAAACTTTGGATTTTTAAAAAAGTCAGTGCCATTTTAGAATAGAGAGGTTTAATTTATTACATGAGGGAGGGGAAAAAAAACTTTTGGCACCAGTAACAGAAAAGAAACCATTTCAAGGGTCGACATCTGGTTGATCAAAGGAAAAACTAGGGAGTGTCAACAAGTCTTTCTTTGGAGTTGGAGTTATTGACAGACTGTCTGGGAGGGTGGAGTCCCCTGCATCCACGGAGTCCTTGGAGTCCCAAGATGGCGCACGTCTTCTCAGGCAAACATCTGCACTGGAAGGGGACGCGGTGCAAGACCTCCTTAGTAGCAACCTCTGTTCCTCAGGAGGGTCTATGGATATACATGGGGGGCTCATTTTTTTCTTTGGCCGTGTCCCTTGCAAGCCTTCCATTTCACTGAAGACCTGACTGATGAAGCCAGAAGAACTAGATGTGGAATGATGCTGGGGGCTGTTTTCCATGGAACAAATTTCTATGGAATGTCTCCTTTGATCGTCTAACCACGATGACGGTTTTTTAAGAAGACCTTGTGTATCTACACTGTAGCATTTCTTCAGGTCCTTCAAAGGAACATTGCCACTGTTGCCTACATTTCTCTTAGGGGTCTCAGGCTGGACCACTGATGAGGCACTCATGGCTGAACAAGTTCCTGAAGTAAAACAGCTGTTTATTTCTGATACTTCTTGGTCCATCGGATCCCCAGGCAGTTCCTGAAGAGAATCTGTACAGGCACACAAATCTGGAACATGCTTGGAGATGTTATATTGATTGCGGGAATGTTGCTGAGTATGAACACTTGATCGGACCCAGCTGGCAGGCTCTCTTGCTTCCGAGGATGTCAAAGTGATAGAAAGGTCCTCGGTTGATGGGGCTGACAAATTGGAATCAGAGAGCTCACTCACCTCAGCGTGGAGGTTCTCTCTGCTTTCTGAACTATGAGTATCCGAAGAGTCGTTCCGTATGGCCATCTGTGTGGGAGGTATCAAATAATCAGATGGGGAGAAACACATAGAAGTAGTATTAGTACAGGCAAGGTGCAAGATTTAAACAGCATATTAAAGATGACAATTGAATTTTAGCTTTGTGTGTGATGGATTGAAAACTCCAGCAAGCTCTGGTTTCAAGCTTTCTTTACCAGCTGCTCTCATAATGCCCTGCAGTCACATTATCTATTTTGCACATGTTGTACACTCTCCAATTCATGACATTCTGCTTTGGGATTAGCTGGAAACTCTTGCTATTTTTTAGATGTGCTCAGCCTAAATTCCCTTTCCCTTACGCTCACAAAAACTACGATTTCAGAATAGTCTATATGGCACATTTAGCTCAGAATAGTCTATATGGCACATTTAGCTCAGAGCCAAGAGGTGCCTGCAGACCACCTTCAGGGACAACTGATTATGAACAGAACCTAATCAGGAGTTTTACTCTTGGAAATGCCTCTTTTAGGCATTCAGGAGCTTAAGGAGCATTGATGCTGAATAAAACACGTAAATCAGTGCTCAGTGTAGTATATTACAATAGGTTTGCCTAGTACAGTAGAGCAGGGGTGTCAAACTTAATTTCTTTGAGGGCCACATCAGGGTTGTGTTTGATCTTGGGGGCTGAGTAGGCGTGGCTGAGGTGGGCATGGCCAGCTCGATGTCCTGCAGCTCTCTGCCAGTGAAAATGGAGCATGGGAGGGCCGTGCTCTGTTTTCACTGGCAGAGGACTGCAGGAGTCCATCGCAGCCGAAAATGGAGCTCCATTTTTGCTGGCAGAGTCACTGCAGGCTGGTCCTTCACTGTTTCCAGGGCACTCCGCGGGACAAATATAAGTTTTTCAAGGCACAAAATCAAGCCTAGGAAAGCTTTTATACAAACATGGCCCAGTTCATGGAAGAAGATAGAAATACATTCATGAGGGTAGGGGGTTGTTGTTGTTGCATTTATTTCTTTTTTTAAAAAAAAAATCAACGTTTTTAATTAAAGCTTTTACATGTTTATTAGTATTGCTTAACAGGGAAAGAACAATTTTTGGCTTGATAATGCTTTCTGATAAATAAAAGCATGTTGCTACAGGGTTATGAAACTAAAAATGGTGCATAATATTTTTATTTGTTGAAATGGCACTATTATGTGTCCATGGAGACTGCTGTTAAGGTGAGCAAATAACATTTATTAGATTTACTACAAAGGTGAAGTTTAGTGTATTCACAGAAGACTTGTCAATATTTTTAGAAGGCTCTTGTTTCTACCACTGCAAATTATATTTAGAAGTAACCTGTCTTCCCCCAGAAAAGCAAAAGAAATACAAGGGAGTCTTTAGGCCTGAAGGAAGATACCAAGATGGTGGGATTCCCACTGCTTGTAGAGAGGAGATGGCTGTCTGCAGGGCTTCTAGTTCCCATAGTGCTAAACCTGGCCAATCTGCCCCTTTTCAATTTTGGAGCTAGGACAGGACAAGGACTTGGAATCAGGGTGTCTGCAATTGGGTTAGTGCCTAACATTTTCAGTAGTTTTAAAGATGAAGGATTCAGTAGGTGTAAATACCCGCATTGGGCTGACACAGTATTCATTAGAAGAAAAACACTTTTGCAGTGCGCTGGCAGGGAACAACTCCCTGTGCAAGGCTTTTCTTGACTTTCACCAAGGAATTCATCACTACTTGCCAGGGCAGCCCCAAGAAAAGAAAGGGAAGTTGAATGGCAGGAGATTCTGGAACTATAAAAGCTGTGTCAGAACATCAGAAGTGGTGGGTGTTTCATTATTGGAGGTTTTTAAGAAGAGACTGGACAGTCACTTGTCTGAAATGGTATAAGGTCTCCTACTTGAGCAGGGGGCTGGACTAGAAGACCTCCAAGGTCCCTTCTGGCTCTATTCTGATTGCCTGATTGCCTGATGTACAAACTGGATTCGGAGTGAAAACACACTGCTGACGTCTGGAAGGCAATGGAAAAGGCAAGGGAATTCCAAAAAGACATCTATGTTTGCTGCCTGTATTATACACAAGAGATTTTAGTCTATATATAAAAGGTAAAGGTTCCCCTCGCACATATATATGCTAGTCGTTCCCGACACTAGGGGGTGGTGCTCATCTCAGTTTCAAAGCCGAAGAGCCAGCACTGTCTGAAGACGTCTCTGTGGTCATGTGCTGGCATGACTAAATGCCAAAGGTGCACGGAACACTGTTACCTTCCCACCAAAGTGGTCCCTATTTTTCTACTTGCATTGTTTACATGCTTTCGAACTGCTAGGTTGGCAGAAGCTGGGACAAGTAATGGGAGCTCACCCTGTTATTTATTATGATTATTATTATTATGATTATTATTATCATTATCATTATTATTATTATTATTATTATTATTAATAATAATAATAATAATAATAATAATAATAATAATAATAATAATAATTTATTGGTTATATACACACCAATAAATTGTGGATGGTCCTTAAAACAATATATATACTGGGCTATCTCACCTGCCCAATGAAGAATTGGTATGCAAACAACAGTTATAGTGCAATATAGAACATATGCCCGGTTCTGAATTGGGAAAGAAATTTATCATACTTTATTTATTTATTAAATTTATTGGCCATCCATCTTACCACAGGGTAACTCTGGGAAGATGTGTATACTGTAAAAACCTAAAACGTTTGGGCTCAAATACATAAGCCTTCTCTCCGAGCCATCGCCTATTGCTCTTCCGGGTTCTGGTGCACCGACCAGCTGGTCTTCATGCGCGCGGGAGTGCCAGAAATCGAAAGAGCAGCCGCCCATTGCACATGCATGTGCCAGAAAGATGATCTTCCAGTTTCTGGCATGCATGCATGCGTGAAGACCAGCTGGCCAGTGTGCATGCACGTGCCGGAAATCGGAAGATCATCTTCCCGGCACGCGCATGGCAGTGGGCAGCTGCTCTTTTGATTTCTGGTGGCTCCCGTGCACACGAAGACCAGCTGGCCGGCTCACCAGAACCCAGAAGAGCAAAGGGGACAGAGCTGCCAGCCAGGATGGGCGGGCTGGGGCTTCCCTCCCTCCCCACCTGAACGGGCTTCTTGCGTGGCCCCACCCCTCCAGCCTGTTGCACTGACACGCGTCCATGGTCTGGAGCACCTGGCCAGCTCGGGTGCACAGGGCAGGGTTTGCTGGCTGGGCGTCTGGCTGCCCCGCCCGCTGCTCTTGCTGTTAAGGGGTGGAGGCGGTTCTCACACTGCCGCTTCTGGCTGGGATGCTGGAGCAGCCAGGAGGAAAAGGAGAAGCCACCGTTGGGGAGGCAAGCTGCCCTAGGAGGGCAGGAGGAGAGTGCAGCCCTTCACACATGGAGATACTGCCGACAGGTAAGGAAGCGGCCGGGAAAGGGGAGGGGCTGCACTGGCTTGTTCTTGGTGGTGGGCTGGGGAGGGCGTTTCATCCCGGCCATAGTTGGGGTGAAGCTCTTCCACCTGCTGGCTCACCAAGCCGAGCCCTGGGAACGTTGATGCCCCTTCCCTCTGAGGCTGGGAAGGGGCTCAGGCTTTCCAGTGGAGGGAGGCATCATTCCCCACCCAATTTTTTCTCCCTGTATGGAGCTGCGGTCATCAATGGGGATGCCCCACCACCCCAAGGGGGGCAGGCAGGGAAGCACGAGGACCCCCGAAAGGTTAGGTAGAGCCGGTCCATGCGCATTGCACAGCTGGTTTTCATGTGCTCATGCACACCAGAAACCAGAAGAGCAGGTGGCCAACGCGCATGCACGCACCAGAAACCGGAACATCATCTGGTTTTCCAGTTTCCACTGTGCGTGCATGCGCACGCACACACACACACACACTCCTATTTTGGCACTCAGTGCCGAAAAGGTTTGCCAACACTGCACTAGATGATGTAAAATCAGACAGTTCATTGAAAGAGTTGATATTGAAACTAAACCTTAAATACACAATCCAAAGATGTTTGGATAGATCAAAGGCAATAAAAAAAAGGTCCACAAAAGAGAAGGAAGTTAGATGACACAAGGAGGAGCTTACAAGAACTCAAAAAAGCAAGAAGTGACAGACAATTTATCAGTCCATCAAGATTGAATGAGCCAAGGAGGAAGTACCGGTAAATAAAATTCAGCTCAACAAAGGAATAACAAGAAACAAAGAAGTGAGAAGGAAAGAAGAGAAAGAATAAGGAGAAGAAAAGAGAGCAATAAATATTACACAGAGTAAAAAAGTGAAATATAATTTTATTGTATCACCAATACTTCATGTATAATTATCCTAACTGGAATACTTTGAAGTAAGTGAAACAATAAGATATTTACAAAAAAAGGCTAGCCTTTTTGGAAATACTAAAATCAGTAATTAAATTTAAATAGTCAAGAGACATATTGAGAAGACCCATTTCAGGAACAAGATTCACCACAATTTCAAAGGCCTGTTGCTTGGCTACATGTATATTTAAATGAAAGTATTGGTGGATGTTTGTCTTTGGCATGAATATGCCTTTATTGTTTGTAATCACGTTTTCTATCTTGAGAATTACATTTAAATTTATGTGACCTGTCAGGGTCTGTATTTAAAACTTGGGTTTGGGGAAAAAAAATCAGTTAGAATAGGGGGGAAAAAAACAGCAGACATGAAATGAATTCATAGTAAATATTATTCATGAACGATAGGAATAAATAAAATTAACTTTCTCCCTCAGGTCTCAATCATAAGCTTCCACAATGCTGAAGGCAAGAGTGCCCTCCCCTGGTTTAAAACAATGGTGCATAGAAGAAATGAACTGGCCAAAATGACAGAGGGAGGCTCCTGTTGATGGGGTATGACCCCTAAACCTGGTTTCTCCCTATATTAGAGATATACCAATTCTGTACTGCCTGCAGCAATCTCATAGTCATTTTTGTAGTTCCAGAGTTCTCAGGATTGCTTCACCAAAATTCAGAAGTAAAAGAGCTGGACTATTGTAATGCTCTCTACATGGGGCTCCCCTTGAAGAGCACTCGGAGGCTCCAACTGGTCCAGAATGCGGCCGCGCGGGTGGTTATGGGTGCAACTCGTTGTGCCCGCGTGACACCCCTCCTGCGCGAGCTGCACTGGCTCCCAGTGGTCTTCCGGGTGCGATTCAAGGTGTTGGTTACCACCTTTAAAGCGCTCCATGGCATAGGACCCGGGTACCTTCGAGACTGTCTTCTGCCACCGATAGCCTCCCACCGACCAGTCCGCTCCCACAGAGAGGGTCTCCTCAGGGTGCCATCAGCCAAGTTATGTCGGCTGGCGACACCCAGGGGGAGGGCCTTCTCTGTGGGAGTCCCAGCCCTGTGGAATGAACTGCCCCCGGAAATACGTAAGATCTCCGACCTCCGGGTGTTTCGTTGCGCATTGAAGACCCTGTTGTTCCGCCAGGCCGGCCTATAAACATAATAATTTTAATTGGGGTATTTTAAATTTTGGGGGTTTTAATCCGGCCAAATTTATTTAATTATTTTAATTTTTAATCATTGTTGTGTCCTGTGCTTTTTAAATTGGCTGTACACCGCCCTGAGTCCTTCAGGAGAAGGGCGGTATAGAAATAAAATTATTATTATTATTATTATTATTATTATTATTATTATTATTATTATTTTTGAGTAGCATGCAGTTTTGTGTTTCTTTATAAAGGTAAAGGTCCCTTGTCCAGTCGAGTCTGACTCTAGGGGGCAGTGCTCATCTCCATTTCTTAACTGAGGGAACCAGTGTTATCCAAAAACATTTTCAATGGTCATGTTGCCAGCATGACTACATGGAACGCTGTTACCTTCCTACCAAAGTGGTACCTATTTATCTACTTGCATTTCCATGCTTTCAAACTGCTAGGTGGGCAGGAGCTGGGGCAAGGAATGGGAGCTCACCCTGTTGCAAGATGCTCTAAGCCTCAAGCCTGAGTTGTCAGCTTTCCGGCTGACAAGCTCAGCAACTTTAACCACTGAGCCATGACCAGATCGCCCAATCTGGTAGTGATGGCGGTGGGTGGTTCAGAGAACCGGTATCAAAAATCCCTGCTCCCTTCCCCCCCCATGCCCAGCTGAGCTGCGTGATCATCAGAGGCTTTTGTTTTTTTACTTTTAAAAGCATTTTTTCTACAACCTCTTAGGCCAAAGAGGTCGTAGAAAAAAATGCTTTTAAAAGTAAAAAAAAAAAAAGCCTCTGACGATTGCACGGCTGAGCTGGGATTGTCAGAGCCTTTTGAAAGCATTTTTTCTACAACCTCTTTGGCCGAAAGGGTTGTAGAAAAAATGCTTTTAAAAGTAAAAAAAAAAAAAGCCTCTTACATTCCATATTAAATGGAAATAGTTTGCCTTGGAAGAAAAGTTGTATTTTATTTACTTAGCAGGGAAAAGGAAGTGATGATTTTAAATAAAGTGAGCTCTAAAGTAATCTTGAATTTGTATAATATGCTAATTGAAGGAAATAAAGAGTGATCTTTTGCATTTAAGATTACAATTTTTCAATCCTAAATGCAAAAGATGTGGGTTTCAACTTTTGGGCAAATTAAAAAAAAACATAGATAAAAATTGTAAATTTTTCAAGAGAATTCCACTGTCAAGCTGAAAGGCTTCACTGTCAAGCTGAAATGTTAAAGAATAGTAAATACACATGGAAGAAATACATCTCTTAAAAATAATATTGTGATAAATTGATGCAGTTATGCAGGTGGGTGAGCTATAGGGGGCTCAACTTCATAGCTAGGGGACATCAAGAGAGGGAACTATATAGTCAGCAGATTGAAGCAGCATTTGAGTAAATTTGGGTGTAGTCTGCCAGCAAGACTCAAGAACAAGGACTGGATCAGGATAAAGAGATCACTTCTTGCAGATATTAATGCTTTCTTCATGAAGCCATATTTATGACTTGCATAGCCCACATTGGCCAACACAGCTATTACTATGGACCTAGTAGATATATGTCCTACTCATCAGAGAGAGTGAAACCTGAACCAGTGGTGAAATCCAAATTTTTTTACTACCGGTTCTGTGGGCGTGGCTTGGTGGGCGTGGCAGGGGAAGGATACTGCAAAAGCCCCATTCCCTCCCCATTCCTGGGGGAAGGATATTACAAAATCTCCATTCCCACCCCACTCTGGGGCCAGCCAGGGGTGGTATTTTCTGGGTCTCCGAACTGCTCAAAATTTCCGCTACCGGTTCTCCAGAACCTGTCAGAATCTGCTGGATTTCACCCCTGACCTGGACCCATTATTTCAACCTTTCTATTTTTCTGCTTCTTATATAATTTTGCAATTACATCAGATAAAGCCTGCGGCCCACTAGCTTACATGTTGGGTGAAAACCAGTGAGAGGAGAGGACCACCTGGCTAACCCACCTTACCTGTCTGCGAAGTAAGCGTTCTGCACATGGGGAACGCGCAGGTGGAGCAACGTTGGACTTGCTTTCCCGTTCAAGATTGTATTGGGGCTTGAGACGGTGGAATCGATTTCTTGCAATGTGCAGAGCAGCATCGGTGCTTGCAGGCTGAGACTGCACTGACGTGGTTGACCCTGAGGAAAGGATAGGATACTTGAGAACTTGCATCTAACAGATTCTGTTCCTTATTTTCATTTCTAATTAAATCACTTTCAGATTCCCTCTAAAGTAACAAATCCTCTAAAGTAGTGAAGAGTAAGTAAGTCAGTAAGTCATGAAGCAATACATGTGACCTACTATGCCATACACCAGGGGTCAGCAACCCGCGGCTCTGGAGCCGCATGTGGCTCCTTCATCCCTCTGCTGCGGCTCCCTGTCACTCAAAATATGTGTCACAACCACCAATGTCAAGAGCCTTGACAGTACAGTGGTCTACGCACCCTGTTATTAACACAGCTGCCTGCAATTTACTGCTGGTTCGAATCTCGCCAAGGCTCAAGGTTGACTCAGCCTTCCATCCTTTCTAAGGTAGGTTAAATGAGGACCCAGTTTGTGGGGGCAATAAGCTGACTTTGTATAAAATATACAAAAGGATGAAGGCTATTGCTTAACGCATTGTAAGCCGCCCTGAGTCTCCGGAGAAGGGCGGCATATAAATAAATAAAAAAAAAAAAGTGTGACACCCGCCGACACAATTTATTGAGCTTTTCGACCCCCAGTAGGTCAACCATGGATAAATAAGTTTTTTTATACATAGCATAAAATTAAAAAAGGATATATGCAGTGTTATCTTCATTTTAGATGTCAAAAGGGTTTTTGTGGCTCCCGGTGTTTTCTTTTCTGTGGGAAACGGATCCAAATGGCTCTTTGAGTGTTTAAGGTTGCCGACCCCTGCCATACACGAAGAGACTTAATCAGTAAGTCTCTATTGTGATGGCTGGTTGTATCAGCAGTAAAGGAACTACGCAGGCAGGCTTCAGACTCTAGAAAATCTGGAAATTTCTGGAATAAGGAGCAGCTAAGAAATGGTCTAAAGAGAACGCACCCACAACTGACTAGAGATCTCATCTCTACAGCTACTTCATGTATGCGGTGTACTTGTTATTCATTCCTGGCATACACTAGTAGTCTTTGACTTACAACAGTTCCTTTAGTGACCGTTCAAAGTTACAATGGCACTGAAAAAAAGTGACATGACCTTTGCAGCATCCCCATAGTCACACAATCAACATTCAGATGCTTGACAATTGGTTCATACTTATGATGGCTGCAATGTCCTGGCACTGTGTGATCAACTTTTTTTGACCTTCTGACAAGCAAAGTCAATGGGGGAGCCAGATTCACTTATTACCCATGTTACTAACTTAACAACTGAAGTGATTCACTTAACAACGGTGGCAAGAAAGGTGGTAAAATGAGGCAAAATCCACTTAACAACAAAAATTTTGGGCTCAATTGTGGTCGTAAATTGAGGACTACCTGTACTTCCTATGCATTTCCTTGGAAGAGATGGGAAGACCTTTCAGATTAGGCTTTTGTTTTGATTTTTGAATGCATATGAAAAGAAGTAATTCTACTCTCGGAATTCAAGCCTATACTCTAGTAATACATTCTCTCTCTCTTAGAATCTTGTTTTTGATAAGTGGGGGAAAAAATCACCATTTAATCAACGGTGATGTGGCATTAGGAAGGAACTGTCACAACATTCTAAACTTTGTTTCTGCTAACACACTCTCACAAAGGGAAAACAAATAATTGTCCTGGCTATATCTTGATTAAAATATATTTTAATATATTTGAGTCTATAATGCTATCCGTAATCAGACAGAATTCAAACACAGAAAACGAACCCAGAGGATGGTCAGATATACAATTATGCCAGTTAATCACCTGGCACAGTGTAGATGGCAGCCTCACAAAAGTGGGATGAGGAGTGATGGTAGTTCCCCAGGAAACCCTGTCTTTCAGAAAACAGGCAGCAGAGATGCGTTGCCATTGCCTTCCCTCATTGAAGATGTCCCTAGACTTCCAACATATCAGTGCCAAGTATAGAAATAAGTAGAAATTGGAAAGGAATGACCAGTGGAGAAGCAGTAGCCAACAGGGCACAGATGTGGTGGTTTGTTGTAGAGAAACAAATCCTTCCTTTTCTGACATTTTGTTCCAAATCAGAGCTTTTCCTCCACAGATCAGAGTTTCATTTTCAAATATTCCATATTCTTCCAAACCAGGACTTTTCTAAAATAGAGCAGTGCAGTTTTTTCTAAATTCCCAATTGAATTATGCTTCTGGCTTTTGTGCGTTCATGTAAAGTTCAAAACAGTCACATGAACTGCTAAATTCTTTAGGTTGCAAGTGAAATCATCTTGCCACCTCCAATAAGTAATATATTACAGAAAGAGATATGACGTGGGGCAATCTCATATTCTCTTGCTCAGTTTCTGGTTTACAGAGAAAAGGTAGACATGCAGGGTGAATACAGGTTTCCTGTGGATGCTTCTACTACATTCTCTGGCTAACTTCTTATTTCCAGATCTAGGATTGAAACGTTTGCAGCGCACGGAACCTTATAATACTTTCCCCTACAAGATCCAACACGACGTTTTTGTGAAAAAAAGCAATTAGAAAAAAATAATTCATTTTATCTGGACCATCTCCCACAGAAAGAACCTCATTTGTCCTGGACTGTTTCCCAGAATATCTGTCCTATTATGCAGGATTATTGAAACAAATAACTTTTGCAAAGGTCAACTTTACTTAACATTCTTTTCCAACTTGAAATCTCATGTTAATCTTATTAACGTAATTGGTGATATATGGCCTTAAGTAACCACATAGCATTTTAGAGAATTGCATATTAATAAATAGAGGTCACTGCATTCAGTCCTGAAAGTCAATTTTTTCAAAGATGCTAAGTGTCAAACCAGAGGTGGCTCTGTTTTGGTCAGAAGTCAGGCTTCATGTCTGGCACAACATCTGTGAAATTAGGTTAGATGCCCATGTGATATTAGTGTGAGGGCTCTGGGTCCCCCCATCTCTTTATTTATTAGCCTAATACACTATACTGTATTAGGCTAACGAATGACGAAGAAGTTTAATCCTTCCCACATAACTTTGTTTCTTTTTTTTCATTTCTAAATTTCTTGAATGTTCTGCAAACTACAGATCTATACCTTGAATGGAACTATAGAAAGAATTTTTGCATCTTGCTGATGTGTAAAGGTGCTACAAACAGTTAAAATGAACATAACATTATCATTTGTAATCATGAAATAGCCTGATTTCTGATTCACATGCTTCGATTTCCTACTTGAGGAAGTAACTCAAAGAGCCCCTAATCCATTTCTGGGTTATGAAATACATATATATGTTTTCATTTTGGCAATTGCCAAAGGCTTGCAATTGCCTTCATAAACAGAGAGGAAAGAAGTCTGGAGAAAAATATTCACAAACAAAGACTGCATAGTCTAGTTGGAGCTTACATTCGTGGATTCCCCCCCTCCCCATTTTACACTATATAGATTTGATTCCAAGTGAACAATCTCATCTCATTTTTTCCCCTGCCTATTCTCAGTGGTCATCCACATCTGAACTGTATTATTTGCTTTCTACTGCAGGCGTGGATTCCCAAAATCGAATGCTCCCTCTTTTGCCAATCGGCATATACACACAAGTGTGTCCATCCTCACCATTCTTTTCATACAGACTAGTCTTAGAGAGCCAGCTTGGTGTAGTAGTTAAGGCACCAGGCTATAAACGCAGGGGTGGTATTCTACCAGTAGCTCTGATAATCAGGTCGGCTCACCCATCTGCCCCTGCACTTTATTTACCTTTATCTTCTCAGCTGATTGGCGCAGTAGAGCGGATTGCCACGCCTCAGCTGTGTTACTCCCAAGTGGTAACACCAGTGGTGGATTTCAAAATTTTTTACTACCAGTTCTGTGGGCATGGCTTGGTGGGCGTGGCAGGGGAAGGATACTGTAAAATCTCCATTCCCTCCCCAATCCAGGGCAAGGTTACTGCAAAATCCCCATTTCCTCCCAATCAGCTGGGACTTGGGAGGCAGAGAATAGATGGGGGCGGGGCCAGTCAGAATTCTTACTACCGGTTCTCTGAACTACTCAAAATGTCCGCTACCGGTTCTCCAGAACTGGTCAGAACCCGCTGAAACCCACCTCTGGGTAACACAGAAGGTTAGTATTTGTAAAACTGTGCATGCATATGCAGTGCACGTTAGGCGTGCAAGTGCGTGAAGCATGTGCAAAACACGTGACCACCAAACTGGCTGTTAAACAGGCAGGATCCCACCACTACATAAACTAAGATACTGTGAGGCCTAGTTTGGTTTTAGGCATAAAGCCATATGGACCATTCTCTTGGGCCAATCTCTCTACCAGCCCTTGAAAGAAGAAGGCAAGGGCAAACCAATTCTGAAAAACCTTGCCAGGAGTCCAGGCACTCTGAAGGCACGCGCACGCATGCATATGCACGCACACACACAGTGTCTTACTCAAGTATTTTGACTCAGTGTTTAATGAACCCATAACACTGCTTCCCTGGTCCCCTGAGACATTTTTCTCTACCACAAGGAAACACGTGTGATGATGACCTGAGGCATCTTAAGAACTTGCAGCGCTTCCCCGGTACCATTTCTATTACTTTCCAGAGACCTTCTCGACTCTGAAGTTGGCTTTCTGGAGTTTGGGCTGAGAAGGATGCACAATAGAGATGGCAGACTCTAGTCTAAGAAGTTCCCACAGACATTCTTAAGGAATAAACGTGGTTTTACAGATTAAGTGAAACATAGACTTTGTTTAGAAGTGCACCTTCTGCTTGGAAAAATGAGCCAAATAATGGTAGAAAACATCCCAGAGGAGATGGACAGACTGTGCATCAGGCAGGGGTCTCCAACTTGCCACTATCATTTTGAGATTAATTTGCCAATATAATTTTGAGATTAGGCAAACTACGGCAGATCTTATCCTTCCGTATATAATCTAACAATGGATGGGATGAGAAGGAAATTATTTCAGTTTTTATGGCTACTTGTTCTTCCATTCCACCATCATTCCAAATCTTTAGTGACATAAACAAAATGGGCTGCTTCTGAAAACAAATAAACACAGAATATGTAAACTCTGACTTGCTTTTAAAATACTGAAAGGTATTTTAAAGGTATTCTTCTGGAAGAAACCCATCTTCCACTGAATTTCAGGGGTGGCAACTATTTTTTGGTGAATGCTGAATGAAAAAAGACCAACAGATAGTCCTCGACTTATGACCACAATTGAGCCCAGAGTTTATGTTGCTAAGTGAGAAATTTGTTAAGTGAGTTTTGCCCCATTTTACCAATTTTCTTGCCATATTTGTTAAATGAATTACTGCAGTTGCTAAATTAGTAACATGGTTGTTAAGTGAATCTGGCTTCCACATTGACTTTGCTTGTTAGAAGGTCACAAAGGGGGAATCACATGACCTTAGGACACTGCTACCGTCGTAAGTATGAACAAGTTGTCAAGCCTTCGAATGTAAATTACATGACCATGGGGATGCTGCAATGGTCATAAATCTGAAAAATGGTCATAAGTCACTTTTTTCAGTGCCGTTGTAACTTGGAATGTTCACTAAATGAAATGTTGTAAGTTGAGAACTACCTGTATTTTGTTTTGGAAGCAATTAAGAGCCATATGATGCCATGGGTAGTAGGGATCTCTTTTTTGCTGAGAGTCTTCACATTGATTATTGGGAATTTTTATTTTTCCAGGAATTTGAGGACACCATTTTAGAGTTTGGTGTATCATGTCCCAAGTATTATGGGAAAACAGAATATTGTTCTACTGGGACTTTAACTGCTGTATTTATTATGGTTTTTATTACTATATGAAATAGGTTGCTACTTTTTTATTTTATCCTGTATTGCCAATAAATTTATACACTGCCTAGGGGTCTGTGATTCATGGTTGGTTTATAAATATCATTTATATTCATATGCAAATATAAATTATGGATACTCTAGTATTTTTTTAAAAAAATATATGCTATGTCTACATGTTAGTTTATCTTCATTATAAAACTTCACTTTTCTATTGAATTACGAACTAGGCTGATATTGCATAAGGCTCTAGTGTTGTTTTTTAGATTTTGTTTTTGTTGTGCTGCCCTAAAATCAAGCTTGATTCCTTGATTTTGACATTCTACACATGGATCATTTTATGAACTCTTAAGTTATGCTATGTTGAATATTGCATGTGATTTTACATTATTTTATGCTCAGCTTAAAGTGTCAAGGTACGCTTTCTTTGCTTAATATCTATAGTTTCAGCATTTTTATTCCTGCTGCTAAACAGCAAATGTTCTCATTAATATGCAAATGTTAATATCCTTTCCACTAACCTCTTCACATATTGTACCATTCTGAACAGTATTCTCAAGTGCTGGGTTATGGCACTTGGCAATAAATTCTCCTTGATACTGAAATGGGCTTTTTGAGAAATGGTTAAGGAGAGAAACTAGTTTCTCTCCTCAAAATCCCCTAGGATTTTTGTTAAGAAAGTCTTAGTTCTTCTTCCTGGGATTTTAATAAAATTGCTTTTCATTGCAGAGAGCAGAGAGGTGATTGTGCAATTTCAACACTTTAGAAAAACGAATACTGTACAGATGTTGTCCTATCACTTCACATTACTACTAAGCAGTGGTGGGATTCAGCTGATTTGGGCGAACCTGTAGTTACTGTATTTTTCAGAATATAAGACGCACCAGAGTATAAGATGCACCTACCTTTTTTGGTGAGGAAAAGAAGAAAAAGAAATCTCCCTCTGCCTCTGAGCAATTTTGTCTCGATGCAGCAAACAGCCTGCTTTACTTTCATTTTCTTTTTCAGCATAGCTTGATTAGCACAAGGAGAAAAAAAATCTGCTCCAGCAATTTACCTCTTTGCAGCAAGCAGCAGAGCCCTGCGCAAAACAGCTGAGAACAAATCAGGTGAGAGTTGGGAGGCCGATCCAATCAACTGGTGCTAATTAGGCTGTGCTGAAGCTGAAAGGAGCTGTTTTTTCTTTCTGTTTCCTTGCAAGGAGGTAACGGCTGGGAGGCAGAGGCCAAAGGGTGGGGGCCAGTGGGTGGACGGGGCTACATTTGGTGTATAAGACGCACCTAAATTTTCACCCCCTTTTAGGGGGGGAAAAGGTGCGTCTTATACTCCGAAAAAATAAATTGCTGGCTGGCCCCTCTCCTCCCCGCTCCTTCCAGGAGTCCCCACATGCCCCATTTTGGCTCCCAGGTAAGTGCAGGGAGACCTCCTAGGCCCATTTTTGCTTCCAGGTGGCTGCAGGGAGGCCTACTAGGCCCAAAACGGGGCATGTGGGTTGTGCGGCGCGGCCCACCCGTGGCCTGTTTTTGCTCCCAGGGGGATGCAGGAGGCCGAGTACTGCTTGTCACACCCGTGGCCATGCCCACCATGGCCACACCCAACCAGCCGGTCATTAGGGCAGAGAACCGGTTGTTAAATTATTTGAATCCAACCACTGCTGCTAAGGGAGAGCATTACTCAGTTTGAAACAAGTGAGAGTGGCCAATGAAGGGCTGCCACACACAATAACAGTCCTGCATCACTCCCTGTTCTCATCCTGTACTATTGTTTGAGATGCAATCTGATTGCTGTTGTATATTTTTCTTCTCCACCTATTCCACCGCTCTGTGCTGGGTCAGGCAGAATTTGCAGCAGTGCCATAGCGACATTCACAGCTTTCATTGTGTTAGGAAGAAGGGGTGGCAATGTTACATGGGAGCCTTAGGTTTTTTTTGGTGATGTCCTAGCATCTGCTGTAAATTAATCTAGCAAGTTTGAGTTCCAATTTTCACGTCTTAAAAAGAGTGTATACCTAAGATATTTCAAAATGGAAAAAACAAGTGATGGCATGAAATGACTTGATGAATATACTTACAGCAGTGAAGGATAAGTTTAACCATCAAAAGATTTTGAGCAAGGAGCCATCCCTTAAAAAGATTAGGTTCTTTTAAAAAAATAAGGGCCTTTCTCTAAGTTACATGGGTGTATGGTTCAAGGAAAAAGCTGTTTCAGGTGGGCCAATTTGGAGTGGTAAAACAGCATGAGACAGGTGGTTTTCCATTCTTCCCTGGTCTAAATAGTTGCCATGCTATTTCAAATAGAACTTTGTAGAAAAGATTTTAGCAGAGAAGTAGCAAGAAATTAAGCATTCCTGCCATCTTGTCCTCATCATCCATTTCCATTTCAAGTCAGTCAAGATTTGTATGGATTTATGCACAAGGCCCATTCAATTCGGCAAAGGGAGTTAGCTGTTAGTTTCTGATCCAGAATTTCAGTCTCAGCACTAGACTCTTCCATACAGCTTGCAAATTATATCCAAGGCTAACAAAAGCAAACACTTCCATAAAGCTCTAGCTGGAAAACCACATATGCATGTATTGGTTTTTTTTAAAAAAATTTTTTTCCAGGCAAATGCTTTGTACCTGATTGAGATTTTTGATGAGATGAGTTTTTTTCTCCCAAGGAAGCATCATAGGGGCCAGCATCTGGAGCCTGAAACATATAACTGTCATTCGGCAGAGAGTGGGTGCGGCCCACAGAAGTCTTCCCTACTCTCAGCAGATCCTGGTTTGATGAGAGAATCAGGGGGTCATTAATGGAAGGAAGATCAGTCTAAAAAAAGAAAAAGAGAGAAAGAGAATGTCACAGAAGTTGAAAAAAATCATGTGTTTATTGGAACTGTGGCGACAACCACTGCAACAGACATGAGATGTGGTGAGCATGCAATTTATTAGGCTGTACAACTTCTAGTATAACCAAATGAAATTGCACAAATGAGTTGACCAGGAAGCAATAATCCTACATTTTTACTATTACTAAAGCACCACACATAGAATGAACCACATTAAGAACAAAATATACAATACAGGGGAACAGAGAAACAACATTACAACAATAAACCATGACTATTTCGGGATTAATTGAACAAGCATCATGCCTCAAGGCTTGGTTAACAATTGCATGCTTTGCCAAACTTTAGTCCTTTCAATGTGTAATACAAATCTTTTCAATCTCTTCCTGCTCAAAGGAAGCTTTTGCAGGAATCCGTTCATAATTCTAGTTAATTTTCTTAACAAAACAGGGAGCTACATTTGTCTATAGAATGCATATTCTGTTTGTGACCTTGATTTTGTATTGCTAAAAAAATGCCTGCATATACAAGCAGAATTACAAAGGAGCACTGATAATGTATTTTCAACAATAAGGAAAATACATTTTAAAATTTTAAAAAATCTAAATAATAAAAATGTACTGTTACAAAAGTCTCTGGTCTCATTCCAGTTTTCATAATAACTGAAAACTGATCTGTTAGAAAATCTTGTAATGATTTTCTAATCTAATTCATAGTGAAACAAAATATAAATAGCGTACATATTATGCAGTAGATTTAACCAATAGTTTTTAATTTCTCTAATACATAGAACTAATTTAACTCTGGTTTCAATTAAGGATTTAGATATTAGATTCATCTATAGCTAATGATTCAGATAAACATAGTTAAATGCATTGTACACTACTACCAAGTCTTTTTTTTATTTCTTAAATTAGATGATATCCTAATTCAATTAAAATCAGTTGAATTGCTATATCAATTATCTTTCCCTCCCTATTGCAGTGATATATTTCATTTCATGGCAAAAAGTGGGCTATGCCCAGACAGCTTCAATGAATATATGTGCAATTTGTGGAAATTCATTTGACAAGATGAAATTGACATTCATTATGGTTTGGATATATCTATACCAGCTGCTGTCTATCTATCCATCTGTTGTCTACATATAGTATTTTTTTTTTAAAAAAAACTTTTATTATCTTTGCTTTTCTGCATACATTTGCTCTTCTAACAATACTGTCAGCCTGAGCAGACACAGGTTTAATTCCAAATAGGTGTTTTATCACTTTGCTTTTCAGAACCATTCCTACTTTCCCCATGGTTTCCTTTGTCTTAGCAGAAATAGAAATCTGTTAAAATCTGTTAAGATAGGATAGATGGACTAGTTGCAGGTTGTCATTCGGTTTGGCATCTAGAATGTTCTTCTTTCTGAAAAAACTTTAAGATACCTAAGAATAGATGTACTACTCATTACTAACTTAAGACCCATTAATTTCAATAAACCATGATATGATTTAGTCTGGATCCAACCCAATCTTTTAGAACTTATTGATTTTTTCAAAAAATAAAAAAGAAAAGAAAAGAATGCATCACGTGTTCTTAGATATTTAACTTTGCCAAATTATAGAACTGTAAAATAATTGGATACTGTACAATTTGAAACAAGAGCGAAAGTTTCCATGGAGATTAGTAAATTAGTCAATATAAATAAACCGTTAATAATAAATACAACAAGCTCTTGGGTCTTGTTGGAGTAAGAATGACCTGATAGCTTAGATGAAAAACAATACAGAATGTTTCCCATTGTTGTATTTAAACTTGGATCTTAATTAGTAGCAGTTTTATGAAGAACTCACTTTTTTACGACTAAATCATATGAGAAAACACAGTGGGATAAGGATTCAGATTAAGTCTAAATATTATAAGCCACCCATAACATTTGCTAATTTAATAAACTGTGAAATACAGTTGGTGCAGTTATACCCATGGTTCCCAATGAAGAAATAAAACTCATTTTATATTTGTGATATATCTGAAACTGGCTTTTTAAAAAAAGATGAATTTTGTAATATACTGAACTCCTCCAAAATATTTTAAAAATTAAAGGGCAACATTTTAAAAATGTAGCTTTTCTCAATTGTATGATAGTGCTCAAAGGTTTTTTTTACATTATGTAATAACATAAAAGCAATTCCAATTAAAGCAATTTGAATTATTAATATTGAAAGTATGCATTCTTAAATAATATTTACATTTGTTTACAAGTTTCTAGAGTTTGTCTGAAGTAAGAGGCCGTGATAATTTTGCCAAGTGAATGGATTGACTTCTAATTTGATGGAAATAATCTACGGGACTTTAGAGTTTGCCAGAGTCATAATCCTACTTTATGATTTATCTTGATAGACAGTAAAATGCTCCTCTTCATTTAGTATCTCATTTTGAATGGAAATTCACCATTTGAAAACTCTCACCAAAGCCTTCTAAGTCTTTTGCAAATGATACCATGAAGCATGATGGGAAATATTGTCACGGTTTAAAAGGGATGTGTCCCACATAAGTAATAACTGTTATGGCAATCTACTAGAATGATAAGAGAATTCATCAACACAACACACAGCTTAAAGGTAGATATGTGAACAAGAGTAAAATAAGAATGGATCCACTTAATGCTGGGAAGGAGTTATGCCTGTTGTACAGCAGAAATAAAGCATTTGATTGCTATTAAGCAGCTAATAATATTTAATGTTTCAGGAGGAGATGGTTAAAGCAGGGCTCAAAATACTGGTAAACTATGTCTCACAATGTTTTAAAAAGCCATTCTTGATTAAAAACTTGAGAGTGTAAGTTGAGAAAACTGTAAAAGGCTTTGCCTGCCAAACGTCCTAGACACCTGTTTGTAGCACAGTTTGGATTCAAAAATGGGATCGTTATATCATGACATTTTCCACATATCTGTAAGCAATGCAATCACTTTAATGTTGCTTGATGTACTTTTCAAGAGAATCTGAATTTCTTAGTGGCTGATACCCATAATAAAGAGTACAAATACACCTCAGAGGTAGTATTGAGGGTAATCCCAATGGAATAAATTTCTCTATGCTAATAAAAGGTTAAGAACTGCTCATCTGAAAATGCCATAGCTGTTATTACCCTCTTGATAACAGTATTTAGAACCCTGTAAACATCATAAAATACAGCAACCAGTGTATGTACATTGCTCTCCAGGGCATTAAGTAAGAGTGTGTTATTATCATCAGGTAAAGAGTCATCCGTCAGAGCTAAGGACCAGGAATTTTCAGAGAGAATATCTGACGTCAGAGACAAAGCCTCCATCTCAGCTAGAGGGATCTAAACAAGGGAGAGATGATCAAACATAAGAAACCAGGACACATATACATGTCTTTTGAGAAAAAGAAAGCTATTCCCACAATCATTATCCTTTAAACACGGAGGTGCTTCCCCTGCTATTAAGTGCATTTATGCCATGCTCATTATTGTGTAGCTAGGATCACCAGGAAAAGCAACTAAACTTTTTTCCCTCCCTTCTTCCCTTTTTTTCTAATTCTTTTAACCAGGCTTACAAATAAGCAAAATGGAAACCACAAACTGCACCGATAATACTGTTGTTGAGGGATCAAAGGGCCGGCATCTCCGGAACGTTTAAAAACCATCCTAATTACATTTAAATGATACATTATTTTCAGAAATATAATTCTATAGCTCTGAATTTCAAAATACCAGGGCAAAACTATCTTTCTGGTAGTCACAGATGTTTTCAGGGTTTTTTTGCTATAAAGAATTTATCAAACTGAGGAACAAGGAACTATACAATTAAATCTGATTCCACCTAAAAAGGCTATGATCCCCCATTTTTTGAACAGAAGGAACCCTGGGCTTTATCACAGGGCTTGGCAACACAGAGCCTTTGGGTGTCAGCATAACTACTATTCCCCAGATTGTGCAACTCACTCTAGTTAAAATTATTTTGAAGCAGCGTTGAAACAATTTGAATTTAAAAGTTGCACAACTCTTCAAATTAGGAATCTCATGAGATTTTGGCTTTTTCTTTGTTGGAGAAGAAGCACCTGGCATCACACAAGATCAAGTCTCTGGAATCTGAAAGAGTTGCCAATCCTTGCCTTCTGAAAGCTTTACTGTCCCAGGTTCAGTAGGACCATTGTAACATAGCATAAGAACTCTTACCACAACACACTGGATCTAGTCTATGTATTTAAGTGTCAAGGGTTCAATGTAATCTTTTTAAAAATTTTATGTCACAAAAGCTAAACATCAGATAGATTTAAAATGACTTAGCAATTATGATTTCATTGATTCTTTAATTTTATATACAACGGGTAGGTGAAATTAATACTCAAAACTGGAATTCATATACCGAGCACCGTGTTTTCTATGAAGAGTAATGTTTTTTTCAAGCCCATTTTTGCCAGGAGACAGGCAATTTCAAGAAACAAACAAACAAACAAACAAAAATAAAGATGAACTCTCCATTCCAAGTCTCAAGGTCAAGGGGAGATAGATTACACACCCCTTTAATCACACCAACAGCATGGTTAAAGGCAGGACACATAGAGAACTACAGAAATGACCTTGGAGAAGGAATGTAGAAGTCAGCGAAACATGAACTAACCTAGGAAATGAAGAAAGGGTTAGAAAGAAACTTGAAGTGATTCTGCCTTGATTCTCTTCAGCATAAGAGGGAAGGAAGGGAAATACTGTCAGGCTTTCAAGATTGTTACTACCGTATATCCTATATCAATAAAGTGCTCCAGTTTATGTTTCCTGCCCTGATCTACCTTGAAGGTCTGAGTGAATATTCTTCAATTATTTCGTGCATATCTAATAAACCTATGTCTTAAATTTACTTATTTATACCTCACCTTTATTATTTTTTATAAACAATTCAAGGTAGTGAACACATCTAATACTCCTTCTATTTTCCCTACAACAAGAACCCTGTGAGGTAAATTGGTCTGAGAGTGACTGGCCCAAGGTCAGCCAGTTGATTTACATGGCTAAGGCAGGGCTAGAACTCAGTCTCCCAGTTTCTAGCCTGGTGCCTTAATCACTAAATCAAACTGGCTTTCTCTATATCTTATATCTCTTAAATTTTACTCCCATTGATATAAAAAAAATGCCTCCCAACAATTGTTTGAAAAAAATAATGTTTCAAAATAGATTGTTTCAAGATTAGATTGGCCAGACTCTTAATTTGTTTTATCAAAAAATTGAGGCACATATTTAAGTTTCAAGGTGTTTGATTTGAAGCACCATTTGATTCAATATTAGGCCAGAAACTATAAGCTAAGTTAGTTTCTTCTACTGTAGATTATTACACTATACGAAAATATCTATATGAAAGTTACTTACGGGACCGCCTACTACCATTAACAGCCTCCCACCGACCAGTACGCTCCCACAGAGAGGGGCTCCTCCAGGTGCCGTCGGCCAAACAATGTCGGCTGTCGGCCCCTAGGGGGAGAGCCTTCTCTGTGGGGGCACCGACGATCTGGAATGAGCTCCCCCCAGAGATACGGAGGATTCCGGATCTGCGCACCTTCTGCCGCGAGTTGAAGACGTTTTTATTTCATCAATCTGGCCTCGCCTAAATCTTCTCCCTTTTAAGTGTAAATTTTAAATTTTTAAATTCTTAATGTATTTTAAAAAATGGGTATCTTAAATTATGGGTACTAATTCAGCCAAATTTATTTAATTCATTTTATTTGATTTTAAATTTTGTATATCTATGTGTTTTATTTTATGGCTGTGCACCGCCTTGAGTCCTTTGGGAGTAGGGCGGTATAGAAATTCAATAAAATAAAAAAAAAATAAAAAAAAAATAAAAAGTCCGATGTACCTCTCCAAATTGTATCTCCAACCCTAGTTTTCAAGAAGGAAGCAAGCAAGCAAAGATATATACTTGTTCCCATTACTTAATCTTTATATTAATTCTATTACTCAAGTTGAATAAAAATAGTAATATCTTCCATTATTCGTGAATTAGCCTGTGGCTATATAACTGACAATGCAGTGACTTTATCCTTATCCCAGTTGGACCTAAGGTAGAGTTTGCAATTAACAATGTACTATAACAAAGAAAAGTTAAATAACTATTACACGAAAACAAAAGATTCTTGGTAATCTTTACCAAGACATGTAGCAGATAAATATATAACTGGAAGATAAATAACCTCACCATTGAGCAAGTGAAAGATTTTAAACACGTAGAAATTATCTTCCAAACCCTCTTTAATGTGGAAGAACCAAATGAACATGTGAAAAAAAAAAACTCAATTTGCCAGCAGCAAAGGCAATAATTTTGTCCCTGAAGCAGTAAAAGCCTTTAAGGCAAAGGTACTAAGCCTGATGCTTTATGGTGCACACACAGCGTTAGAAACAGTCCAGACTAAATTTATAACAGTGATGTTTCACGTCCATTGCTGCATTCCAATGCTTTCCCAGATTGCAATTAGGTTTCTGATATAGAGGCATGTATGAGAACTTGTCAGCTAAAATATTGGCTAAAAGTAAATTGCATAGAAGACTCTTATGCACCCTTAATTCTTATGGGCAAGTTCATTTCCCCTTGGAAAAATATAGTTATAGATTTAAATTACCATGGCTTTTCACTTCATTTTTTAAAATTCAACAAAGATAGAGCAGAATGACATGAAAAATAAGTTCTGTGCACTTGAAACTAATCTACAGAGGCATAGAATTCCAGCACTGTACCATTATAAGCACCGTCTGTGCAGGAGATTGTTTAAGCTAATATTTTGTATGTTCAGTACACAATAGCTTTTTTACAAGTTATACTTTATGCCATGTCATCCACGATTCTGAACTGCAGGTACAATAATATCCTTCTCTAAGCCTGTCTGTATCCCTATTTGAAAAAAAATCTATAGTATGAATTCTGCATGTCTTGTACTGTTCCAGATAGCAATTTTGGCTCTCTATATTAATACAGATGTAAACTGGTTGACTGGATTGACCGAACAGAGGAAAATCTTTGTTTCCTGTTAATTTCTCATTTCTCCGAAATATGTAAGAAAGTTACTGAATTTCACTCAATGATAATTGCTGTAAGGAGGATTTGGAGTCTAAGAATAGAATTGTTAGAACTCAAAATTACTATACTTTATAAAGGATTTCCTACAAATTCTGATTTGGTAGTAAATGGACCTGAGATTGAGAACTAAGTACCACATCAATTTGAAGAAGACAGATTATCATGCTATCATCAATAAAAATTAGAATAATAATTCTTTATTGTCACTTAGGACAAACATTTTGGAAATGGACAGTACAGAAGCTATCTTGAAAATTTCCTCTCAACTCCCCTCTGGCCCATGGAAAATAGCTAGATATAATGGTATATGAGAATGACCTTGGGAGATGAGGGAAAGAGATGCTGCCTAGCGAACAATCAGATAAAGAGGGTGGGGGCTGTAGTTGAATAAAGGGCAGAAAAAAGAAGAAAGGATTTGCCTAACTTATCAGGCAGTAAAAAGTAATGGTGGGAGAGCTGTACATTTGGACTTGCAAGGTTCTGTTAACGTAGCCTTACAATAAAGTAGAGTTAGCTGATCTTGTTATGTTTCCTCTCTGCTCTGTTTGGGTGGCTGACATTATCTTAAATTATTCTTGGAAATGAAGCTTCCAGACTGATATTAGTACTTGTTACTTCAGCTGATAAAAATGAAAGTTGATTTCGTGAGTATATTTCAGAGAAAATCTCCCTTGAACTATTATATTTATTCTCTACAGTGAAGGCCAATCTACTAGCACAGATATATGGAGTTGGGATCATATAGTCTCCACTACGTTGTAAATTGCTGCATCATAATAACTTTGCCTTATCCTCAGGATCAAAAAATGTTATAATTTTATTGGAGAGGGAGTGGCCCAGCCAGGGGGAGGAGTCAAGTGAGGATTTAGTCTGGAATCTTTACCTAGGCATAAGAGGGCAAGTTTTAATCCTGCTTGAAAGCCATTGAACTTTATCTAGTCTGACCCAGGTGCAAACTACCAGTCTGCTGTGAAATAGGCACTTTCACATGTGGGTCTGGTTGTTCGCTCCTGACAAATGTTCTGTTATTTAGTGAGCTGACAAACTTTGAAAAGGCTAATAGTAGGAACTTTAGAGAGCAAGTTTGGTATAGGATTAAGGCACCAGGCTAGAAACCTGGAGACTGTAAATTGTACTGCTGCCTTAGGCACAAAGCCAGCTAGGTGATCTTGGGCTAGTTATTTTTTCTCAGCCCTTGGAAGGAAGTTGAAGGAATCACTTTTGAAAAACATTGCCGAGAAAACTGCAGGGACTTGTCTAAACAGTCTCTGAGAATCGGACATGATTGAATGAGAAGAAAAGAAATCTTAACTCATGTTTAATTTAATCATTTAAATTAGTTGGTTTCAGTAACTGGGAGTTGATAAAAAAGCTTTTTTTCTCACCTAGGAAAGAAGTACTCTTCTGTGATTATACCTTTTAGAATATCTGTATGCATCATTTAAGGGAAAATCTAAGACTTGCTTCAGGAGTTTTATCCTTATCCATCTGCAAATTTAATTCAATGATCAATCAAACTATAATTAATATACCAAGGTATCTTTAATCAGAACTACTAGGAAATCTTACTGGCAGATTGATGTTTCATTAAGCAAACTAAATCTCTTTACAGGAATAAATGATATGAATAAAATAAATACATGTTCTCAGCCAGTAGCTCACACATGGAAGGTGGGGAGAAATTATAAGAGAGGGATGGCATTTAAATGTGATCATTCTATTTCAGAGTTTTAATGATCTTTAAAAAAAAAAATCTCAAAAATGATCGGAAATGATTGGAATCTGTGCTATCTGTTTTCAACATTTATGATCAAGGAGTGTTCTAAGGGCTACCAGAAAGAAAATTTAAGTATCATATGCCTGTCCCCACCCCTAAGAGAAACTTTGTTGGTGGTCTTACATAACACAACAGATATAAATGCATATGAAATAAGAATGTTTTTTAAAAATAATATGTTTATCAGGACAATTGGGTTTGCAAAGAATTGTTGCAAATATTGCACTTTCAAAAACTGCAATCAAGAAACTGGGTTAGTGGGAAAAACAGTGGGAAAAGGTTACAGGTGGAGCACTTCGGACAAGGACATTGAATCTTATCAGATTCTAATATATTGCTACAAAGGCTCCCCCAAAGCTTGTTGAATGAAGAAACAAAGCTTACAGCAATTTTGTAAACTCTCAGTACTATAGTAACACAGAGTCTCTATGTATTTTGGATGTATTTGCTTCACTGTATTTTAACAGGATGTCATTGCTTTACTGTAATTAGATTATTTTAGCTCAATCAGAATTGGATTTGAAAGAAGAAAGAAAAGAAGCTTCCTTTTGATACCAAAATTAAATATTAATTTAATATTTGAAATGTTAAGTTACATCAGCCCTTTTGTCCCAGTGAATGTACTGAACAAAGTGCCAAGAATCTCTATATATTTTCTTGGCCATCCCCACTTCGGTTACGAGCAGGCCAGTTCTTCATTTGTTGACATGTAACACAACTTTCAGCTTAGATTCCATGCAGATGAATTGAAAAATCAACACCTTATCTCTACAGTTATAGAGAAGCTGTCCAGGTCAATTCCAGACTAGTTTATTTTAGAGGAAATTGCTTTTCATTGGATTCTAACCTCCAGACACTGTACGATAGTGCTGCTTTTTCCCCTTTAAATTGCCATGTTCATGAAAATAGGAGGGAGAATGTAAAGGGAAACAAAGAAATAATTTCAGAGCTATATGTGGAATTCCTTTCCAATATTTTTTAGGGGGAGGGCAGGAAGAAGGATCTGCCTATTAAGTTTAAATTCCATAGCTTTGTCCTATGATCATTTTCTAAAGATAGAAACAAATGGAGAATTCACTGGTCCTATATGTACATGCATTTTTTTAAAAAAATAAATAATTGCAATTAAACTGAAGAATCCACCCCTCTAAAGTACCAGTAAGATGATACCATCTTCCCCTTCTGGACTGTTACACAGAAATTGTTTTGCCCTCTGCAAAAAGAGAGAAAAGGCCACGCGTGGCACTTTGTATTTTTGCACTTTGCATGGAATAAAGGATCCAAGACATGCAGAAAGAAAGCAGTGGCATGATTTTTCGTTTACTAAATCCTTGGCTTGAGTTTAGTTATGGTTTCACCTCCATAGTAATGGGATTAAATCCTCCTGAATTCAGCAAGGTTTCTGACTGAACACTAATAAGACCAGGTTGAAAATAAGGCCTATTTTCAACAAGAAGAAATCCATTTGCCCACAGCTTTTATTTGACAGTTAAGAAGGTTTACTCAGAAATAAGCAATACTGAATTGAATGGGAGAAACTTACAGGTGCATGCATACCAGATGGCATTCTTAGCTAAGTCTATTTGTTATCAAATAAGAAACCCTTTTGGAAATTAATAATATTAACCTGTTTCTCAGGGTTGTAAGTGTCAGTAGTTGGAAGGGCATAATGATGGCATACAGAGCCTGACAGGTTGTCCATCAGCTTCAACTCTCCTTCCAGAGATTCCTGGATCAGCAGTGATATGGTATCAAACAAGTGTCTTTCCTGGGAGGAGTGCCAAATAGCATGCAGAAGAATAGGCCAGGCCAAAGAGAGAGGAATGGAGGGGGGAGAGAAAAGGAGGGTTGGGGGAGGATAGAGAAAGAGAGAGACCATGTAGGAGACAGAAGGAGGAAGAAAAGAGAGACAGAAAAAAATGTTTTCAGACAGAACAGTAGTTGTTGAAATGGCCAGGAAGAAAAGACAGGGACAGAGAAGGGAAAAACAACAGTGCAATAATACCATAGTCAGAACTTTTCTAAGACATTGCTACACACAAGACTGAAACTAAACACATGGTAAGGCCAGTGGGACACATTACATTCATCCAGAGCAGCGATTGGCAGCTATCTACCGACTGGCAGAAGTACGGCAGTTTTGCAGGGCTATCATACCAACATGACAAGGGACAAGTGCAGCAGAAATAAACAACAAATGTGCACAATTTCAAATGGAGGTGAGAATGGAAGCCAGCATGAAGCGTTGGCATCACGCAGTAGCATCACCGTAACCACTTGAGAGTAACATGGTTTTCAGAGGTGCTGGTGGCTTGCCGTATCTGTGACCTAAGTGCTCTCAATCTCTAAAAATCAGACCCTTGACTTAGCCTCTAAAGAATGAATGCAAGGCAAACTTTTGAAAACAGGAAGAGACTGAACAAACACTGGTTTTCCAGAACCACTATCTGCTGGTGCAGGCATGTAAATGCTTCCTCTTGGAAAATAACTACTATATACTCAGTTGTTGCAACAGTGAGCTATTCTTGCCTGAGAATGTCCTGCTTGAGCCAGGAATAATTATCTTGAAATACTGGCAAATAAATCTCCTATACGGCCAGTGAAATCCTTTTCTTAATTCCATTTCCAGATGTAGATATGGGCAGAACTTACCTGAATCTGGCTGACATTTGAGCAATGCAGAATGCAAAAAGAGACACCAAGTTGGTTTCAAAATCTAAATTACAGATGTTTTCTGGTTTGGTGGCAATCTCTGTTCTTTTAGTTACAAGTAAAGGGTGGTTTACAAGAACTCTGTATAGACTTTTCTTTTCAACTCATCTGGTACAATAATTCCAAAGCATTTGGAGTTCAACGTTACACTAGGAACTGCGGCCATGGGAGGAATTTTCAAATAAAAGACCTAAAAAGTCACTGGTAACGGGACTTCCTGCTCAAAATGCAGCCAAATGTGTAACAATCTTTGTGTAACAATTGTGTGGGGATGCTGAGAAAAACAAGGGATTGGGGAGTTTATATGGCTCTAGTCCAGAATAGGTGGGAGGAAATTTTAGAAAGACGAAATACAAATGGGAAATATTAGCATTAGTTATCAGAACTACATTTCATTGGTTCATGGTTTCCCCATTGACTTTGCTTGTCAGAAGGTCGCAAAAGGTCAGAAGGTTGCAAAAGGGGATTATATGACTCTGGGACACTGCAACCGTCATAAATGTGAATCAGTTGTCAAGCATCCAAATGTAAATCATGTGACCATGGGGATGCTGCAATGGTCATAAGTGTAAAAAATGGTCACAAGTCACTTTTTTCAGTGCTGTTGTAACTTTGAACAGTCACTAAATGAACTGTTGTAAATCGAGGATTACCTGTACTACAGAGAGGGCTCATGGGAACTTCAGTTTATCTACCTGTGGAAGCTCCAAATATGGACTGTTAAATACAGTAATGTTTTACAATTGTTTTGTAGAAGTGGATATACAGTACCATTTGAACTCAGCCTTAAGCTTATCTTCATGCATCTCATAATTAAGATGGCATAAGAACAATGGCTGCCTTTTGAATGGTTTTGAGGTAGTTCCTGCCACAAAGCCCATGCTACAATCAGAACTGAAAGTCTCTCAAATGGCAGAGCTTTAAGTCACCATCTAGTGAGCTGTCAAAGTCAAAAAGTCTAATCCATCTGAAATCCAAATGCTCCAGTTTAAATTATATACCCAGCATCGCTGAGTTCCCTTTGACTTTCCATGATAAGGATTTAATCTGAGGTTACCGAACTAATTCAGAGTTTATAATTAAGAGTTGTCATCCTATGCATGCTTGCTCTAAATCTAGAGAGATTTATTTTCTAATAACTGAAACCTTAAAATATTTGTATTGTGCACAGGATTCTGAAAGCCAAAGAATTCTCGAAAAAAATATGATTCTTAATTTCCATTTGCAAGGCTCCTAATTTCAGAAATGTCTGAGATGTTGAGATTAATATACAGTGTAAAGCTTCTGAAGTAACAAGAGGATTAATAATTTAGCAGCAGTACAACTTTCTATGCAGGAAACAGCCAATGTGTATGATGCCATGAGTTCCCACAGCTATAACCTAATACAACAATGAATATAGTTTATGGAACATGCAAGCAAGGAAGCATGCTGATCACACGACTCTGCAGGATTATAATATAGGAATTGTATTCCTCTTTCACCAACCATTTCTTGGAATGCAGAGATTTTAATTAAAGGGACACTAGCAAGGAGAAAGAGTACTTTCATTAGCTATTGAAATGACACTCAAGAGTTTAAAGATATCATCGGCATAGTAATACGGGCAAATATTACTATGAGACACCTTTCCTTCTGTAATAGGCTTTTATCAGAAAAAGGAATTGGCAGTTTTAGAGAGTTTTGAGAAATTCTAACCTAGTTTTGATCAGACACAGTTAATAGCCTATTTGAATAATGAACAAAAAATATTACAGCCGTTTGCAATGAGCAATATTTCTGCAGGTAATGAATTTATGATCGATTAATGAGGAGGAAAGGCAATTTCCATATATGAAATAAGAGATTCCACCACTCTACTAATATGGACTTGTTGGTGACTGTTGGTGCTACACTCATATGAACAGTGGCTGGAAGTTTTAAACAATGAAACTGAATATTGCTCTGTAATGGTAAAAATCAGACACCTACTTGAATAATGAAACTGCATACCAGACATACAGATGCAACAATGAGCAGGCACTCTTCTATACAGGTGCCTGCTCTCACCTACTACATAGATGCATGATTCCATTGAGCAGCCTTTTGAATTGCAAAGGCATCTTTGAGAAAAACCTTAGGGGCCTTTTCCTCCAGCACTGCCAGTAATGAAAGCTGTGTCTGAGATCTCAGAGCCTCTATTATAAATGAGCTGGTTAAGAGGCTGCAGAACACTCTTTGCAACCGATTAATAACTTTGCATGGACATCTAATATGTTTGGCCTGCTTTTGTTGCATAAGGCTTTTTTCTAGACACTTGGGAATTTTGCAGAGAAAAAGGAATACAACTCTCTGATAAATCACTGGAACCACTCAAACTTAGATTTGAGTGTATACAGTATGTTGCCGGAGACAAGTGAAGGCCACTCCTCACTTCACCCGCCACCTGAGGTTCTCACCATAGGATGAACCACGGACAGCTGAGAATTCACTTTGATTTGCATGGGGTTGGCGTATCCTCCAGGACTCTCAGGCCAGTCTCCTGTGTTGCCGCTTGTCCACATGAAAGAGTCAGAAGGTGGCTGCACACCCGGTGTGATTGTCTTCATTTCCATTTCCAACTCCAGCTCCAATTCTGCTTCTTCTTTAGCTTCCTTGTTGCTCTCCTCCAGGTGCTTCATCAGGACAGCAATCACCACATTCACCAGGACAAACTGGGCTGTCAGCACAAAAGAGACGAAGTAGATAGGCGAGATGACGGTGTTGTAACAGGTGGATTCCTCATCGCAGTCCCGCAATGTGTCCTGGGAGGGAACAGAGGGAAGTGAAGTGGAAATGGGTGTGGCTGAGAACTTCAGGCAACTAACTTGTTGGGATTGGCAGTTTATGCCACTCAGATTCTAGCTTCAAGCCTATATGGCCAGACCCCATGTGGAAGATGGCGAATGAGTGTCGTCCATATCGATCAGTTTCTATAGAATTTTAGGAACTTGACCACTGAAAAATCCTTCTACTCTTCTAGAATGTCTTATTTTTGATACGCTGGATGAAATCTTTGAAAAAGCTACCTTCCCACATACAGGCACAATACATTCAGAACTGCATAACATTCTGACATCCATAGATAATTCAGTGTATTTGCAATGGCTGCTTTCTTGCTTTGGCCAAGACCGAAAGATTTCATGATTCCAACAGAATAGGCCTAATCCACCAGAGCATTGGTAGGGGTGATTAGAGCCTGAGAAATGCCAATAACATCAATAATGTGCTGAGTTTGGTCATTTTGGCATTGTTTGAAAACATTTACCTAACTCAGAAACTAATTACTCTGGTTTTACTCATACTAAGTCTGTCGATTAGTTCTGGACAACTTTTTGGTGTCCTTATTTTAACTGAAATAAAATAGTAGGTTGGTACAAAACGACATTGTGTATAGCCAGAGTCTTTTAAAATTAGGTGCTTTAAAAAGTTTCAATACAAACAAGCCATGATGCCAAACCTAAGTTGCAAATTACAAAAGGATTCTGAAAGCTGCAAATGTCAGCCAGGGCTATATGGTTCTGTGGGTTGCCTCTCCGTGATCTTGATGATGTCACAATCACAATGTGATCCCTGATTGGCTAAGGTCTATTCCATGAATAATGCAAAAAAAAGGGAAAGCTTAATCAAGAATTGGGGGTAGGGTGGGGTGGGGTAAGAACGATACCTATTGCTGCAAAAATTAGAAGAAACAATTTGGATAAGTATATATAATTTGTTATTTACTTGTATATCCTGAATACTGCCGCAGTATCTAACATACTTAAAATTCAGAGAATGAAAATATTCAGAACAGTAGTTGTGTCTGTCTTTCAAGAGCCTGAAAATATATGTTGTGTTTTTCTACTCATTTTTTTTTCTGATGGCAATTTTACCTTCATTATCCCATTCCAATTGTCTCCTGTGGATACACGGAAGAGTGTGAGGAAAGCCATTCCAAAGTTGCGAAATGTTGCATGCCTCCCTAAACCCTCGCAGGGATGAGTGTCATCACATTCTATGTGTGCAATAAAAAATATATATATATAAAGACGATTTAGTCATAAAGGGTTTTTTTTTGTTACCACAAATAATTCTATAAATTCAGGTGGTGCAGAAAACTTACCAAGATCCCCAAACAACTCCACTCCAAGAGCTGCAAATATGAAAAACAACAACATGAAGAGGAGACCTAGATTCCCCACCTGCAAAAAAATAAGAAACAAAGGGGAAAAATACTCATTGAAGTTATATATCACCCAAGTAACTCTCACAATGAGGAATGTACATGCTATATTAGTCTTCCAAAGGTAGGGACATGCCACTTTCCAGATACTGCTGAATTAGTTTTGTCAGTAAACATGGCCCACAGTGAGGGATGCTGGGAACTGTAATTCATCAATATTTGGACATTATTAAGTTCCTGCACCTGAATATATCTCCTTTCCTTCTTTAGCTTTACTAAATCTCATCTGGTCACTAGTCTAATGCTATGATTTCTTATGTGTGTGAACAAATACACATACTTTAAATTTAAATGTGCATAGTGTTGGTCAGGAGAGAACAACTTGCATTGAGAAAAAGGATTCTGAAATCTTTTCCTGATCCCCAAATGCCCAGCTGAATAAATAAACCAGTTTTAAATGTCAAGCGACTAGTCCACTGACTACAACTTGCTCCAGTAAAAAAAAAAGAAAGAAAGAAAAATATTTGAAACTTTAAAAGCTGAGCATATGTTTCTGCTCCAACAAAAGTTGTAGTTTTGGGATGTTGTGCACACTGCATGGTGCCTAAGCACAATATCAGATTACCCCCTGGCCCATGATAAAGCACTAACAAGAAATCTTGTCTTCTACACCTGGTGCTTTTCAGATGCACTGGACTATGACACCACATGGCCACACTGCCTGAGAATTATGAGAATTAATACATCTGAAGGGAACCAGGATGAAGAGACTTGTTCAGGGTCTGGAAAATTAGCATTTCTGAGCTGTGGAATTGATCTTTGCTCTGAAGATCAGAAAAAAAAAATCAGGAAAACAAAAAGTAGCGGAGTGCTTACATTTTTAGACTTTCATTTCTATTCAAGTTTTTAAATTTCAAAACAAGTTTAATTTCACACCATTAAATGCGTGTGAATTGTACTCATACAGCAAGTGGTGTCATGAGACTTCAACTAATTAGCTTCAGAGATTGGAATCTTTTCATGGGAAAGCAACATTCTCTTTTGAATTGGCGCTAACTTACACACAATGCCTCTTGCTCAAGGATGGACAAACACAATACAATTTTCCTCCTCCATCCTATCCCCTGAATTTCATTAATGCCAGTTGCTTCTTACTTTTTCTTAACTTATTTTAAACAGATAGATGGTTTCTGAATTGGCACAATCCTAACTTCCTCGCTCTTCTTTTTTCTCACTGCATCAACGTACTGATTTACTTTGGGGTATGTATGTACGGGCATAAATTGTAGGAGAAGGAACGGCAGAACCTGAGGGGGGGGGAGGCAGAGTTAAAAGAGGGATCAGCCCAGAATCCCTATTTAGCCACAAGCAGATTTAACTACATAGGGATTCTAAGCTGATCCCTCTTTTAACTCCACCCACAAGTTCTGCTACTCCTTCTCCTTCACAAATGAATACTTATATCTGATACAATTTTCTTGAAAAGGCTAAATCTGTGATGATTAGCAAATGGATAACAAAACTGAGCAGGAGGCAAACTACACTGAAAAACATACTAGAAAAAGAATAGTAGCTGAAGAATTCAGGGGAAAAGCAGTTAATTTCAGCCAATCCGCAATAAAGTTCTAGCCTTATTTATTATTTATTTATTTATTGGTTCGATTTATATGCCGCCCTTCTCCGGAGACTCAGGGTGGCTTACAATGCGTTAAGCAAAAGCCTTCATACTTTTGTATATACCTGCTTAGTAGGGCTTTCGCACCCCCTAAGCAGTGTTCTTTTTTATACAAAGTCAGCTTATTGCCCCCACAATCCGGGTCCCCATTTTACCTACCTCGAATGGATGGAAGGCTGAGTCAACCTTGAGCCTGGTGAGATTTGAACTTGCAGTAATTGCAGGCAGCTGGTGCTACTTAACAGCACTTTAGTCTGCTGCGCCACCAAGGCCTTCAAGAAGACACCAATATAGAAAACTTGTACAGAATTATCTAAATTTCTAAGATAATTAGACAGTGAAGGAAACTTAACAGAAGCCTGGATGATTAGATTGAAAGGTTACCTGAGGCAGTGCTTGCATGACTGTATCCAGAAGAGCTCTCATCCCTACAGCCATCTTCAGCAATTTTAACACTACAGAAAAATGAAAGGTTTGTGATGTGATTGCCAAAATAATGATGCATGGGAAGGAAATGCAAATTTTAATATTCACAATAATTACCCGAAGAATCGTGTCCTAACATCCTCCACTAAAAGTTAATGTGCAAGACAATGTTTTATGGAGTATTCTTCAGCCTAGAAAACTTTGAGTGTGTTGGACTTCGGTTCCCAAACTTTGCATTGGGAAAGCTGTTCAGTGAGATATCCTATTATCAAAACATGGTGCCTAAAATGTATAAAAACTATGTCCTACACAGCGGTCCCAAGAAGGAAGTTCCAATTCTTTCACTCACTTCCTGTTGTAATGTTGGCGATTTCAACATTACAACAGGAATTGAAAGGGGGGCTTTCCTTCCCCTCCCCGGCAACTACTGAGCAAAGCAAACCAGTTTTCAAAGGTCAGAAATTTATCTAATCTACAGTTTCTGAAAAATCATCTTTGATCTGAAGAGCTAAGTGGCCAAGTACATGCTCACTGATTTAAATGGCACCAAGACTGAGAAAGAAATCAAAGTTGTTTGTACTCTTTGATTCCAAATCTAGGACACAGCAATAGTGAGCTTGTGATCTTCCAAGCTAAGGACTTTATAGCCTAATGTCACCAGGCTCCACTTGTTCCATAATAAACTCCTTTAATACTTTGTTGCCTAGAGCAAACAACACCATGTATAATTAATAAATAACACCATTGAAATACAGTGGCAGAAATTAATCAGAGTAGTTGGGACTACTTTTTTAACTCATTACTATTTGTAATGTATGACACCCAATCAAGAGTTTACAGCTATAACAGTAAACCTGTTTTTGAGGAGATATGCTAGTCTAGGATTGGAAAGACCCAGATACAAATCCCTGCTCAGCGATGAAGGTCAGTGATCTTGGGTTGGTCAGTTTAACTATGTGCGTAAAATGGGGGAAAGGGAGAACTTTGGGTGACAGCTTGAGAACACAGAAATGGAGGAAGCGCCTTCTGTTGAGAGAAATCACTGATTCATCTAGTTCCAGGGATGCAAGGGACCAAACTGACACCTTTTCCACGCAAAATAAGTATTTATTACTAGACAATCGGTTGGCTATAATGGAGCTATTAGCAATAGCAGTAACACGTAGACTTCTATATAGTGCTTCACAGCCCTTTCTAAGCAGTTTATAGAGTCAGCATATTGCCCCAACAATCTGGGTCCTCATTTTACCGATCTTGGAAGGATGGAAGGCTGAGTCAATCTTGAGCTGGTGAGACCTGAACTGCCTAACTGCTGGCAGTCGTCAGTCAGCAGAATTAGCCTGCAGTACTGCATTTTAACCACCTCACCACCACGGCTCTTAGCTATTAACCTGACTAATAAGGCAAAATAATAGAGCAAGGTTAGCATTAGCTTTGTAGTGGATGCTTAAGCTGTATATATGCTATGTAGAAGACTCTAGTATGCCAGAAATGATCAGTTCTATTTGGCCAAAAGATTTATGGGTGCAGAGCCCCAGAAACAACGGGGGGGGGGACTGACCTCGAGCAATCCTGAGGACCCTCATAATGCGGATAATGGTAGGGTTGATGGGCAGTGATGCATTCACCTCAATCTCTTCCAGCGTGATCCCCATGATGGACAAGAGAACAATTGCTAGGTCTAATTGATTCCATCTGAAGATGAGACAAAAATCAAATGGAAAAAAAAAGCTAAATTATTTGTTAGCAAAGGAGGGGGTTATATGACAAAGAATTCCAATCATTTCAGGCATTTATGCATTCATGAACTGACACTCCACCTTTAGCAGTTTGTGAGATGAAACAAATTAAACAAAAGATGTCTTATTAGGATATAAATTTAGTAAAGTCTGAATACACTGCTACTGGAACGGAGAAGGCAAAAATGAATTAATCTGCAGGGCAACAGAAAGAATAAAAAGATAAATGTTGACTTCCTTTCCTTTAAATGTTTTACTCAAAGTACCATACATTTCTCTAAACGTTTTATTCAACTGAATTTAGTTTTTCCAAAATCTTTTTTTTAAAAAGATTTGCCCTTTGTTTAATTGCTATTGTGAGTGGGTGGGGGCTATGTAAGGAAGATTTTCAAGGTTATATGGCAAAGATGTGGTTGAGGTACAAATGAAGAACACGATGCTCTTGATGAAGAAATATCACATTAATTCTATACGATCCAAGTTTATTCAATATACTCACTTTTTGTGTCTATATATGTGTGTCTATATAACTAGCACTGAGAAACTCTCTGATTTGCTGCTACTGCTCTATAAGTAAATGCATTATTTGGGACTGCTGAACATATGGGGAGATATGACAATGGCACTAACAGTTGACTGTTCTGCATGCTCATGAGCAAATTAGATCCAATATCCCCATTTGGCACACATGGGCCCATTTAGAATCGTGAGATCAGGTTAGAAGCACAAAATGGCTACCATGGCAAACATAACCATCTTTCCCGAGTTTGCTCTTCACCGTCCCTTCTAATCTCCCCATATAGTAGCTGTCACCTCAGTTTGCCTTTGACTTTTTACTAAATAGGTAGGCGTGCCAAGCTGTAGTCTCCTTTCATTTCTTTAAAAAGAATGCCTCAAGGATAAATGCATTTTTGGAAATAAAGATTGTGTCTGAGGCTGGTATTTTGCATTGCAGCATGCTAACTTCTCACTTGAAAAACATAAAAGAATAAAGGTACAAACTATAGGAAGCAACAAGGGAGGAGCCAGCATGTTTCTGGTGCTTATGAGGGCTACAGTGACGACCCAAGTTATCAGTGTAATGGGAAGAAGATTAGTTCACATTATAGGTAGTCCTTGACTTATGACCACCATTGGTATTGGAACTTCAATATGGTCATTAAGTGAGTTGCACCTGATTTTATGACTTTTTTGCTGGGGTCCTTAAGCAGATCAATGCAGTCATTAAGTGATTCATGCAGTTGTTAAGCAAATCTGGTTTTTCACAATGACGTTGCTTGTTCGAAACTCCTGGGAAGGCTGCAAATGGTGTTCACATGACCCCCAGATGCTGTAACCATTGTAAATACATATTTTTTTTAAAAAAAATTTGATTTATATGCCGCCCTTCTCCGGAGACTCAGGGCGGCTTACAATGCGTTAAGCAATAGCCTTCATCCTTTTGTATATTTATACAAAGTCAGCTTATTGCCCCCACAACTGGGTCCTCAATTTTACCTACCTTAGAAAGGATGGAAGGCTGAGTCAACCTTGAGCCTTGGCGAGTATTCGAACCTGCAGTAATTGTAGGCAGCTGGTCTTAATAACCAGCTTAAATACATAAATACATGCCAGATGCCAAGTGTCCAAATTTTGACCAGGGACCACTGGGACACTGTGATAGTCATAAGTGCGAGGATCAGTCATCACTTTTTCAATGTCGTAATTTCAAACTGTTGTTAAACAAATGTTTGTAAGGTTGAGGACTACCTGTAGTAAGAGAGTTACAGCTGCTGCAAATGTTGGTGTGAAGATGTGGTGGAGCAAAATCCACCAGTAAGACATGAGTTTAGGGACAACTACTGCATTATATGATTTTATCATAAAGAGTTTATCAAAACACTTACTCCTTTAGAGAGGGAAGCAGAAATTAAGAAAAATGGACATCCATGTTCTTATGTACTTCTATATAATTTAAATTGAATGGACAGAGATGAAATATAAATACAAGGAGCTGGAAATACTTCTATACATCACAGCTAATTCAGCTAGTTTCAATAGGAAATAAACCTGGCATCTTTCTGAGTTTTGCCCATTTATTTTCCTATTTTTTATTAAGTGATTAGTGCTTTAACTGCTAATGACTTAATAAAAAATAGGGAAATAAATCTATTTACCAAACATGGTAAATAGATAGGTAAAATTAAACTTTCTAATATATAAACCAAGACTGATTCTAATATGATGAGGATCCACTTTAGAAAGATTTTGAGGTACAATTAAAAAGGCAGAAAATTACTATGTGGGTGTTCCTATTTTTCCAGAAGGTTTTCTCTTTTTTTAGCTGTCACAAGAAAAGATACTATTTATAAATTTAACTATTTTTTCTATTAATTAGCATATTAGTATTAAGATTGGCCCAATAATTCATCTTCATCCACATATTTAGACAACAGAAAGAGCTGTAACTGGAAATATTAGGAATGGCACTTTTTGAGGGAAAAAAACACACACACACAAAACACCTTGCAATGTTATTCTGAATCATTATTACCTATCTTGAAAGAACCGACGAAACCCAAACGCAATGAGCTTGAAAACTGATTCCATGACAAAGATGATTGTGAAAATGTAATTGCAGATCTTCAGAGCTTCCTCAAGAATCTGAAAGCAGAGAGACAAATGGTAGATTACTGCATACGGTAAGGAGGATATTGGCAAATTTCATTTTCAGCTGAATCCATTCTATCCCCTGCCTTATAGGAAAAAGAGTGAACTGCTAAATGAAGAGAAGCCTGTAAATGTAAACCTATCAGACTCCTGGATAGTGTGAGCTTTTGAAATGCTGCTGTCATTCCAGGTAGAGAGAGGATAAGGGCAAAAGTCTAACCCTCGATGCTTTATTGGAAAGTTGACAAAAGCAACAAGCTTGGGACCTAAATATCATCAGGACTGCCTACATTCATTGGGTTTTGCCCATGCAAAAGAACTGGAAGAGTGGACTCTCTTCCCATCCTTTATTTAAGAGAATGTCACTTGCAGGGATCCCAGAGAACAGCACCCCCACTTATTCCCTGTGTGAACTCTAAAGAAGTGGGGATTCTTCTGAGCAGGCTGCTCTCTGGGATCTCTGCAGGTGACATATTCTTAAATAAAGGATAAGAAAAGAGTCCAAATAGCATCCTTTTCCCTTCCCCCCCAATTAGACCAGATCCTTCCTTGTTAATAGTCCTGAAAACTATTAAGACCTGGCTATTCCAAAAATAGTGAGGAACTGTTGGGCAGAGAGAGGCCCTCTGCTACAAGATTTGTCCATGTAAGTTTATCCCTTTGGAACAAAGTGTCTTGCAATTGTCAGTTGTTGGTTTACCTTGCCCTTTCTTTTGTCATTCTGATGTACTCTTATTAATTGCCTTACTGGAGTGGGTTTTATGGTCTGTTTTTGTGGATTAGACTGGCATATAAATCCAAGCATAAGCAAGCAAACAAACAATTTAGGCTGGACAAATAACAATTCCCTTCGCCTTAGTTCTCCAAAAGACAGAATCTATTACTAATATATCAGCGCTGCCTTTTATAAAATATTGCTACCAAGAATGTATTGGTGAGGAGAGACTTTTGGGAGATAAAGTCCTAATTGTCGAATGAAAGAATTTCATGAATATTTAATCCTGATTCCAAATTTAGACAGAAAAGGTAGGTTATTATGGGAAGAAAATACCATGTAGTCATTAGAGGGAAAAGATCTGTACAGGAAGTCATTGATTTATGACCATAATTAGAACTGGAATTTCTGTCGCTAAGTGATGTGATTATAAAGCACAATATCATGTGACAACATAACTGAGCAATGGGATTCTTGGCACTCCTTGTTGCTATCGTTAACCGACTTCCACTGATCATTAGCTGAGGAGCCACCCCAAGCCAAGCCATTCCAGGCTTGGCACTCTCCTAGCCTCAAGCCTCGATAGCATAAGGACTGTCTCCAATTCAACTTTCCCACATACCTATCTACCCCCCTATCTCTGCTCTTTTGACCATTCTGCACCCTATCTTATGGGGCAGCAAGCCATGCCATAGGGGCTGCTTGCCATGTTGTGATTCAAAGGCTTCTTGGCATGATATGGCTCAAAGACTGCAAGAAGTCACTGAGCTGCAGCGCAGTGGAAGCCTTTCATAGCATTAAACCATCAGGATTATCTGCAGATAAAATATAGAAAAAAAATAAAGCATCATGGAAATAGAGGTAAGTATCCCAATTCAAGTTTTTAATCTTCCTTGCAGTCATGATGCTTATTTTAAGAAGAGGATATTTGGAATGGTGGAAGATTTTGCAGTTTGCTTGTGAGCAGAATAGCTGAAAAGTGTGGGATTCCATCTAAATTCACAGCTAGGATGTAGCCTTTATGGAGGCCTAGCCAAATTTCAATTCTAAAACTTTTGGAATTAATCATTCTACAGATTAAAAGATTTTTTTTTATGGGAGGATAAGATTCCTCTTGGTGAGTTTCTTTTCTTTTTTTTAATTTACAAAACTAAAAATATTAAAGGAAATATTTGGCAAAAATTCTTAACAAGAGAAGATTTAACAAAGTTTAAAATGGACAAAGGGAATAGTTATAATTAAAAAAAATAATTATTTTATGAAAGTGTATTGGAATAACTGTAACTGAATTAGGCAACTGAACCAGGACTTCCATGGGAATTTTTTTTTTTTACTTATTACTGCATTTTTCTTAAGACTGCAGACAGTTTGTGGAAATTACAAATCAGGATAAATGTAACATGAGTAGACTCTGTGCATGATTGTAACCATAAAGATATTGATGTTTGACTGCAAGTATAGAATTAAAGGCACAGAAAGATAAAAGAAGAAGAAAAGGAGGGAGAGTTTGCCTTCCTTCCTTCCTTCCCTTGAGATACTTTCACTTTTGGATTGCAACATGAGAACTCAGAAAGAAGGTAGAGAGAGAAGGAGAGCATCATTAGAACAGCCTGAAGAGAAAGCAATTAATTTTTTTTTTTTGACCAAGTTGGCAGTAAATTGACTGAATTACTTAAGACTACAGTTACAACTTTGGAGGAAAAGAATGGATAAAAGATTTGTAAAGATGAAATAGGAGATGAAGAATAAGTTAAAAAGAAGGAAATCTCTATAAAGTAAGTATCTGGAAATATAAAACAAGTTATGATAGAGTAGAAATGATGGATCATGTCAGAAGTTATTGACAAAATTGAAGAGAGAACTATAATTTGGCTCCATTAGAATTCAGAGAGAAATAATTTTGTCTCAAATTTAGAGTTATTCCAGAGAATTCTGATGAAAATATTAGAGAAAAAATTATACAAGTTTTGACAAATTTCAGATTGAGGAGAGAAAGACACAAAGGCAGAGATAAAGTTTACAGACTGTTGTGGGAAAAAAGGCATGGTTTTTATATATGATAATGGCAGTAAATTTTTATATGCACAGAAATGGAAAATTTCAACATTACCCAGCTGCTTGTACAAGATGAACCAACCGCAGAGATCGCACATTCCCATATTTTCTCATCATATTAGACTTTTAAGTACTGTTGAGTACCCATCTCTACTTCACCTTTGTTTACCTATGGCATTTGTTCCTCCTCAAAGCCATAGGAAATAAAAATAACTCCGGTACACAAATTGGCAGCCATTTCCATCTAACTGTCATAAGTAAGTGATTTGGAAGCCGTTGTTCTTATAATTTGAATGTACAATTTTAAATGGAAGAGTGCTTCTGCTAATGGAGCAGGGAGTAGCTGCTCAGCCAAAAAGCTGAATCATCGCAGCAGGAAGGAAGAGAGGCCTTTAGTTTTCTGTCCTGCTGAAAAATAAATCGTTGAGACTACAAGAACAGGTTGGACTGTTATTATGTGCAATCGTGGAGTTAAGTGAGGTTAAAGATTTCAGGATTCTGAAATCAACATTTATACTTTGCTTATATTAGTCCAATCATATTCCAGAAACAGCCTTGGATATTATTAATTCCTACCACCACCAAAACCCTTAGGGCAAAATGGTGTATTCTCTTAGCACAGTACAGTCATACTCCAGCATTTTAGCTTCTACACTCTATTGGCTCTGTTCTTTCTTACTTAGTCTCTATTTCTGCCTCCAAGAACAGAAGATCTTCAATATGTACTATTGCATATGTGTTTGTTTAAGTAGGGTGTACACACATCCACACCCACACCTATACACATAGTTCCAGGGCTCCTGTGATATCTCATTTGCATTTCTGCTTCAAAGCCAAACTAAATTAACTTCTGGCTGGATTTCCAAAATTTTAAAATGGCAGAAGAATTTTGAAATTTGAGAGGCTGAGCTCCTTAGGGGAGAAGATTGGTTTCCCCAACCTCATTCCAACCTCCCAACCTCCCCTTTTCCCCATTCTTTCATCCCACTAGCTGGCAAACTGTCCTAGTGTCCTCGTATTAAGTTTTGGGGTGGGCTGTCAGATATATTATGGTGTTTTTTGTTTTTCCTTCATCCCAAAAACACAAGTGTGGCAATGCAAAGACAGAGGTCAAGCCACTTTTGATAATTTTTCAGCTAGTTGGAGGGGAAAGGGCTGCATGGCATTGCTAACAATTATGCTAAAGGTTCTTGTGACCTGAGATCTGAAGGTCTGATGTGAGACTGGGTGAAGGAAATGTGTTGGTGCAAAAGTGTCGAGAGGTTATCATGAGTGTTACAAGTCTTTTTTTTTTTTTTTACACATCTTATTCCATTTAATCCCCACGGTTGTATTTGTGTGATTAGATGTATTACATTTATAGCGGATTTGGAACTGAGTTGTGTATGATGGAAAGGTCAAAATCTCTGAAAAACTGGCTTCTTCCAGTTTTCCGGTGAAAGATTCATTATCAGGCTAATTCTGATAGTCTGAATTGAGAAGAGGAGAAGTTGAGGCTTGTTGTGGCCATTTTCTATATTCTAAAATTGAAAATGCTTTTCACGTACAGACAGCCATAAATTAAATACAAGAGGATAAAAATTTGGCAGCGTTAGTCATCATCAGACAAATATAGATTGTTGCAATAGTGAAGAATATACTGTATGTATTTCGGAGTTTGCCTGGTTCTTGATGTTATCTGCACTTGGTGTGTTTTTTTTTTCTTGCAGGCATTTCATTAACATGTTACCTGGTCTGATAATGAGCCCTAATCCCCTACAGAACTAAGTACTAACACATCTTTTGCCTTAAATTTCACAATGTGGACAAAAACTTCAAAAGAATTGAATGCATCCTTCTGTATGTAGTTCTCCATAATGACACAGCATTCAGACATATAAGTGCTAAAGCTACCAGATATCGTGTGATTAAGAAGCAGAAAACTGGCTTTACTTGATGAGTGTCTTGAGAGGAAACAGCATTCTGAATGTGTTAAAAAGTACCCAAATGTACTGTTTCCTTGGGAAACATTTGTCTCAAGCACTATGTTTGGCACAACCAATGTTCAGAATCTTGACTGCTTCTATCTTAGCAGCAATTAAAATCAAAAGAATTAATTCTGTGATTCAGCAAATACAGAATACAGAAACTGGCCCCCACCCTGGTCATTGGAGCTGTGATAGCCATCTGGTTGGATGTTTAATCTGGATTTCTGTTCAGAGAAAAGGAGTTGACTCAGTGACCTAAATGGCACCTTCCAACTCCCATAAGCTTACAAAAGGAGACCTTTAGAATTTCCCACTGAGATTTATCCATCAAGGAGATTTGAGATGTAAACCCAAGAAGGCTTATTACCTGCGTTTTTAATCTTTATTTAATTTTTCAGCATATTTATTCACTCATTTTTTAAAGTAACAGATTATTTAGATATCTGAAAACCTGAGCAGTTAATGGAAAGAAGGCTGTTAATACTGAAAAGTTTTGGGACTGAAAGAAATTACACAGAATGTTCAACTTTCAGGATTATTTTATACGTAATGAAAGCCTTCGTGGAAAGCAACCCTTGTAGCTATTGTAACTCATTCTTTCATTTAGTTTGTAATATACGAAACATATTGCATGTCCCTAACCCAGAGAAACCATGCTCCCTAGATGTTTCCCTGACCCCATACGAATGCAGCTTATTTGATCTTCATGGATTTGGCTATGAATTGATATCATCTGCAAATACTGTATGATATAATTCTTGGAAAAAATATCAAAATATATTTAAAAGTGCAGATATGATTGTGTGTGTGTGTGTGTGTGTGTGTGTGTGAGAGAGAGAGAGAGAGAGAGAGAGACAGAGAGAGAGAGAGAGAGAGAGAGGGAGAGAATGAATATGTAGGATTTGTGAAAGTATGTATATTAAAGTATTCAGGTCAATCATATTTGACTAAGATTCCATGGACAGTATGTACTTAAATAAGGAACTGAGGGTCTGATCCTCATTGCCATCCAAGTGAAGAAAGTGAAGATCTCTCCATCAACTTAGTGTGGTAATGAATTCACTACTAATTGTTCTATTTTAATTAACAGAGGTGCAACTCTAATTCCGTCTAGCAATGAAGCTAATATCCACCATTGACCAATACTCTTCTATCCTACCTTGGGCTGGCGGTAATGCTCCATGGCCATGGTGATGACATTGAGGCCAATCACACCTGTGATGAATAAATCCAGATAATGGGTGGTGCACATTTGGTGAATCAGAAGTCGGAAGCGAGAATAATCAGAGTAGTACGGTTTACACTGCGCTTCTGAAAAGGAAAAAAAGTAAAGAAGCAGTTCAGAAAACAATCCCTTTTTCTCAAGGCCAGGTTCAGCACTGGCTTTCAGATTCATTCAAGTAAGATTTCCCCCTCTCACAGGAGTGGGGTAGGGCAAATGTGTTTACAAACTACTGTAATTAATGCAAAGCAAGGCAGTACATTCATATACCTGTATGAGCAATTCCAATAACACATGCACAACAGCCAGGCTTCTGTGACTAGATATAAGGTGAGTGAAGAATAGATTCATTTCAGGTTTCAAAATAATTTTAGAAAAAGATTACATTTTCTTTTTAATTGCCGTAGAAGGAAAAATAAAAATCTACCAGACTTGGAAGCATGTGACCTATCTATTATACATAATAATAGCAGCTTGAAGCATACTAGCATGCGATACTGAAAAACGTAAAAATCTTGGGAAAATTCTTGGGATCAGAGTTTGGGGCAATTTGGAGACAATACATGAAGCCTTTTGACAATAGTAGAGGATAGTAATCTTGCATGTAGAGTTCATTCATGACATATTTAAGGTAGAAATGCTATGATGGAATGCTTGCATATCTGTGATGTACATCTTCTGTTCTATAATGTCCAGATAACCTGGAACCTTGTCAAGCTTGTCCTTTACAGTATAGCCAAGAACTTAGTGCACTTAAGACAGCGAACAGATAAAAGGATACTGTGTGGGGTAGCATTTTACAGTAAAATACTGAAACTTAAAAGGGATAAGGAGATACACATTTGTAAAATATCTGAAAATAATAATAATAAAAAAAAAACCACCTCACAGAGCATTTCAAAGTACATGCTTAAGCAGTAGAGAAAAAAAGTGGAAACACCTTGTTCTCGATTTCAGGAAAATTTTCAGTTTATGAAAAAAAAATGTGTGTGGATTGCTTAGAATTAAATGATCTTCTGTTTAAGTATGATTGCTAAAATGCAGCCGTTCCAGTTAATCTCTGGTGTTTGGCTGCATCAGGGATGACACTTTCTCTTTAGACCCTGAATGTTCCAACAGATAAACTCATTATACATCTAATCTCTAACGAGGAAATGTCAAGTCTATAATTCAGGGCAATTTTCAAAGTGGCATTATAATGCAACATTAAATGAAAAGGACTGTCTTGAAGATGTCAGAGATAACATTATGCCTGCGATTAAACGATCAACTGGCTATGAACGTGACTGAGCCAAGGGAATTGAATGGTATGGTATTTAGCAACACTGAGCAAATATAAGAATTCACTTGGGGAGTGGAGAAGTATGGTATTTTTTATTATAAAGAAAAGCTAAATTCAGGAATTAGCAGTTTTGCATGTAGAGGTCATCTAGCTTATCTCCTAGGTACTGAAATGTTGATGTTCTGATGGGACTCAGTGGTCCTTTCGCATGGTAGAAGGATAGTCTTGTTTCTGCCTGCAAACCTCAAGTAAATCATAGCTCCACATATAAAGATCCCTCCACATAAACGATTTATGTTATCTTTCCACCTTATTTGATACAAAAGAATCAGATGTGCATGATACTTGTGAAGTTGTCAGGAATCATCACATTATGTCAGAAATAATAGCACAAATCTTTTTTTTTCCTGAGTAAAATGATTGTTTAGATATGTAAGGGGCTGAGTATACGGTTATTTTTGCAGGCAGGAATGACATATCTCTTACTTGCATATCTCTTACTTGCTGAAGAGAAAAAAAATCTTCTTGAGACTACTTATTTGGAACTGAAGAAGAAAAGTGTTGTACTGTATTCTGTGAGTTTTCTTCAAATGACCCTAAATATTTGCACCAGTTTTTCAAAATAAGACACAACAGAGACAACCGGCTGCTAGTCTATATGCTGTCTGATCCTGAATGCCATGTTATAATATGGAAATTGAGACATATTTAGTTGAATTTGAATGCTCAATACATTTCTAAAAAGAACAACAAAAAATCTAGACAGGTTGGTAGCTGGCTAAATCACAACTTTCATCAGAACTGTAACATTCTGCATAAATATCCATAAAAACAGAGATATCTCAATGGCATTATGCAAAACTCTGAAAAGGAAATTAACTAAAATGTCTGAATAAAATTAAGTTATGAACTGGGGCCCTGGCTATGAACCAAGTTATAATTTCAAAGAGAAGCCCTATTCTAATTTGCTGGTCTCTTATTGTTCAATGCTTATCCATAATTCACAGTCAGGCAGGGGAAAAAATGTCACAATTTCTGTCTTTTCTTTGGGACAATTTATTTATGAATAATTGCACCGGCATCCAAGGGTTCAGCTATGACTGGCAGATTAATTCCAAACAATAACAAAAGAGGCTGTTAATATATAGCAGGGATTTATACCGAGATTGCAAATGTTACCTGCATAGCAACAAAGCATGTGGTAGCATAATCTTATAAGCAGGGTTGCTCATTTCCCATTCCTTATGCTGTGGGTGAAGACAGACATTGTATTTAAATAAAAGCACAGGGAGGTTATTCACCTGCAGTGTGAATTCAGTTCACAGGTTACACAACATACACACACACACACACACAGAGATCTGGGATTCAATATATATATTATATGCTGAATCCCAGATCACTATCAGCCTTGCCTCTCCCATATGCCTCCTCAGGTGACAAATTCGCTTTGTTTTCTTTTCTTTCTCCTTCTCACCCCCCCAAAATGAAACGTGTCTTTTAATCTGTTTTTCCATTCACTTTTTATGCATTAAAAAAAAAGGAAAAAGTTTAGAAACACTTGCAAAACAGTTCTGAACAATGTATATCAATGATAGCTTAGGCACTGGCAATTGAGACTGATCCTGCCAGCTTTGGGTTTTTCCTTTGATACCCAAGGAAGATTGGGGTATTAATTCTCCAGATTTGGAGGGGGAAAAAGTACTTTTAAATGATAAAAAAGCCCTCCTGCATATTCCAACAGTCCCCTTCTCCTCCAGCACTTTGTTTAGTCTGTCTTCACCGTGTATTTGTAACTAATATCCTACCCTGTGATTCAAGGACATTCATTATTATCTGTTTTTTAAAAGGTTACAATTAAAATTATTTTGATAAATTTGTAAAGCCGTAGCTTATTAAGGCTTCTGCATCTGCCAATAATGTTATTAATATGGTATTTAGTCAGCCCTGCTTCTAAATCTTGCTAACCATTAGCTTTGTCATATTTTGCATTCCAATCATGCATATTAGTAGAAATTATACCTTTTACCTTGCAAAGAACCACACATAGCAACACCATGCTTCTTGTGGGTTTTAAATTAACAGCTCCTGATTTTAGGTGGGCAGGGAATCTTATTTCCAAATACCAATATTATTTCTTTTTAGGAGATATAAAGAAGCCAGATTTATGGGTATTTGTAAATATTGGTACTTAGACACCTTTTAGATACCTTAAATCCATGCCCCCCTTTCGAAACAGCATTGTTTGTACCTGTACATATATATCTTGGGAAATACAGACACCTGTTCAAATGACGAATCACACCAAATAACACAATATCACAAATACTGCTACAATACATTGGGATTAAGGATGACAGGATGCTGCAATTAGTCTGGAAGATTCTAGAAAAATTGAGATAGCATCCTGTCACTGAGAAACCAGTGGGGTATGTGTGTGTTTATATGTGTGTGGGTACAGGAGAGAAAAGGGAGGAAGGAAGATAAAATGATTGAGTAAGAACATGCATCAACTAGGAGATATCCACCAAAAAGCCCACAGTAAACACCAGATATTGGCAAATGATCAAAACAGGTTTTAAATCAAGCTGCTATATTATGGCCCAGAGGAAAGGGAGTGGACATGCATTGATTTAAACTCATCCTGATTCCGTCAAAATGTAGAATCAGAACAAAGCTGCTTTTTCTATAAATAGCAAAGTATCTGTCCTGTAATCATTTACCTGCAGTTGGTTTTCAGATATCTATTCATGTTACTAGCAGGTAATTTACCTGCTCAAATCATGTGGAGAACTATATCTCAATTCCCACCTCTCTCTCAATGCTTACTATTTTTTATTTAATGTTCACACCAGAGAGAAATGTTAAAATGTGATCATATTATCAATGATATATGTCCGTGCTACTACTACCTTAGCCTCCTTGTGACTGGAATATTTATGAATTAAACAAATTTATATGGCCATCCAACTCACACATAGCACCAGTGGGAAAGCACTCTTTTATTCATTATATAGCCTGAAGCCAGGAAAACTTACTCTTCTTCTTCTTTTTCTTCCCCACAAATTTTCTAGAATGATGCTGTGAAGAGATCTGGTGTGGCAGCTGTAACCAGCTGTCTAATAGCATTGGCATTTATGTATCATTTTGAATGGCACCTGAAGTGGCTGGTTGCTTAATGTTTCACAGGCAGGGAGTTGAATGCTCCCTCAAGCTTTCATAGAATGGAGGAGAGGTCACAGGGAAGCAATATCACTAAGCAGCTGGATTTACAAACTGTCCAGGGAATATTAAATGGAAGGTGATGTGCATGGAAGGAATGTTGACATTTAAAGAAGTAGATTTATTAGTCATTTTAGTGAATGACATTTGAAAAAAAAAGCAAAGTGGAAAATGGTTAAATTATTCCCATTGAGATTTTTTAGTTATAAGAGGCAACATCTTCCCAAAAATGAAATATCCACTCCAAACCAGCAATCAGCACAAAGAGATTATGCAAATATAAAACATACTTTCCCACAGGGTACAACTTGTAAAATGCAAAAGCAAAAATAGCCAACCTGCATTTTCACATACAAATTATTCATTTGAGTATGGAAAGTTTGCACAAGGTGATATAACATTCCTTGTTTCCTTGCAACACGCACACGTTTAGATGCTGTCTATTCACAATAATAAGCACTGTAGATTACGTATGATAACACTAATACCAGCAAAGAAAACACCAAGTACTTGCTTTGAAAATAATACATACAAAAGCCAAGAATTATGAGATTATTTCTGAGCCTGCCATGAAGAATGGCCCTGTTTGAACCCAACACATTCAAAACATAATGAAACACTAAATATATACCTAAAAATAACAATGATTATTTAACCACACTGAAATTGCACATCTATGAGATGTTCTCCCAATATCCCAATATCTATCCAAAAGGAGACCCAAAATTAGCCCATACAGAGAATATAGGTACACAAACACACTGAAATGAAATGTGGGAAATGGTAACATTAAGGAGATTTAGGATTCAGTAAAACAAACTGGGTCAATTTTAATTAAGTCAAAATATATGGATAAATATCTCCTTGCTTATTCTTTTTCATTGTTTTATTTTTAAACACAATCTTATGTGTTCTCTTAGAGCTGTATTTCAGATGAACTTGGCACATCAGGTACAGTGATATAGGACTTGAAGAGGCACTGTGCCCATTTAGCTGCCAGCACCATCAAGTAATTGACCAACCTGAAAAAGGTTCCCTGCTAATTGGTTCTAGGCTGCTCAGCTCGTTTGTCAAATTCATGTCATAAATCTTGGCTTTCCAAAGGTGTAAATCCTGAGAGTGTCTTCTTCTCATTTAGAGCTGACAAGATGTTCAGCTATGATAAAGAAGGCCTTGCCATATTTATTTTATTGTTATGTGTATCTGAGCTGTTATTTGCTTTGCTGTCGTTTGTTTGTTATTGTTTTAATTGTTTTAAATTGCATATTAGATGTTGTAAGCCACCCAATTTCTTTTGGAGTGGGAGGCTGTAGTTCATCAAAATAATAAATTACTACTCATGGTTGTCCTTCTTTGTCTGGATTACTTCATAAGACTAACACTCGCTATGTCAACTGGATTCTAAGACAAGGCCTCAAAAATGGACCAGGAAGATAAATTCTTTCCTATGTTCTGCTCAAGGCAGCAGAGTGCTCACGCTAGTAAATTTCAGTAGTGCCATTGACTACTTCCCAATTTTCTTCCTTGATACTCAACTGCATTATTATCTATTTCTGCCACACCTTTTCATGTAGCCATTAAGGTAAACTCCACAGCAGAGCATGTGGTTGCTGGTTTCTGCACTTGTAAAATCCTCTTAAGAAATTTGGGGATTTGCTTTATTTTTAGGGTGGTGGTGGGGGAATTGTATCTTTCCACTGGCACCAAATTCTGATTTGAGAAATTTTTTGCAACAAAAATGGCAAGAAATTGTTAGTAAATTTATATGGAGTGGGGAAAAATATTAAATTTAAAAAAATTACAGGATTCAAAAGATAGAGGTTTCTTTCTCTTCTAAATTTCAAACTATATTACACAGCAAGCTGTTTTGTCATGATTAAGAGATGGGCTTTGGCTTTAAGAACCCACCCAGTTTAGGAGTTGGTGCCCAGGGAGATTTAACAGAACTTACTTTCTAAAGTGTGGAGACTGCAACCAGTCCAGCGTCACCCTCCTTCCATTGCTATCCAATGGGATCATTTTACACTCTCCCTGTCTGAATTCCTTCTCCAAATGTGTTGGGTAGGAGACAATTGGGGCTAGAAGGCAGGGCAGGGCTCCAGTTGCTCCCTCCCTCCATTGCCAGAGGGAAGAAATTTACCTCATAAGTATGGCCACCCCAGTTAGCATCCCTGCTTAGACATCCAGATTGTAGTCTGACTACCCATCTTTATTTCAGTACATGGACTGGAACTGAGAAATTAGTCAGCAAACAGTCTATGGATCCTTCCTCTATATAAGATGTCATATTATGCAATAAGAGTATGAAGCTTTTTATTATAACTATGATACATGTGGCTTTGGTAATACCATCCAGCTTCCGCACAGTCTTTCTTCCCATGCCTTACACATATTCCATGTACAGATATGATCCTTGCAGCCTCAGAGATAATGAAGAGGACTGATGGTCACAAGGTAAATCAAATTTAAGCTAATCTGAGTATAAGGTATACCCAAGGTATCTATAGGAAAAGGCAGTTAGGCCTGATGCAATTAGAAGTAGAGTGATTACATTAACTCCTTCCATGCTGGATTTATTCTATTGCTATGCTAGAAGAATTTAAGCAAATATAAACTGTTTTCTTCTAATGTGAAAGACCACAGGGTTCAGAAATGCGAAAAGGGAGTCTTCAGTGGTTAGTCTGGTGATAGCCTTTCTTATGGGCAATGGGATTCTCTTCTAGATTCTTTAGGAGAAGGAATCATTTAAATTTCCTTAAATTTTGGCAAGAGGGGGAGATGAGAACTGTGTTTCTTTTTCTTTTTCTCTCTCTGCTTCTCTCCAAAGTCCAGCAGAAAAAAAGAGGAACATGCAGAGAACCTGGAAGAAAAGCATGGATACTGCAAGCTATAAACAATAATTATTTAGGAGAGCCTGTCGGATCCATAGTTTTTGTATAAAGGGCCAAGCTGTTTAAAGGTAGAACATTAGAAGGCTGAGTGGCACATATAGAATAGCTCTAAAGTAGATGACCCAGACATCATCCAAAAATCTCTTTCTGAAAGCAGCAAAAGAGGACAATGTTTACGATGAGAAATAAAATTATTTGAATACCAAGACAACATATAAATATCCCAAATTAATTGTGTCAGTGATAGGTCAAGCCTGCAGATGTTTACACCAAAACAAAGCATGCAGAGTAGAGAGTGAGCAAAGAAAGACCTTCCACTACACACAGTCTAGCGAGATGGCTCAAAGAACCCATGGCCAGCCGTTAAGTCACACAGCACGAAAAGTCACGTGAGACAAAGACGGCAAGGACATCCCAGTACCTGGCACTGCACTGGCTGAGCTGTCCATTAATACATCATCCAGCATTAGATCTAGAAGAACGAAAGGTCATTAAATCACCTGAGAGGACAGGAGGCAAACCCTTCATCCCACTTCCAGCATTCAGCACTATTATGGCAAAGCAAACCAAGATCCCAATGGCTAAGGCACTTCCTATGAGATATCTAGTACAGTTTAGAAGAAAGCATTGTGCAAATGCTGGAACACAATTCTACCTCATGGAAACAGCAAGATATTTTTTTCTGTTCAATGACCCACCACAGTTTATAAACTGAACATATTATGGATTATCCTTTATATGGTGCCTTAGTTGGCCTCATTCAGTCTGTGCCAACCCTTCTGGAAGATGCCCACCTCAGGAGGCCTATACTAGATGGTCAGGATGCATCCTTCTCTTTCTCCATTCCTGCCCCCACATCACTGCAACCTCATTACTACTGGCTACCTTGCTACTCAGATTAAAATCTTCAAGATTGCTTTTGTGAGTGTGTATGAATTAATCATATTAATTCTGTTAGATATTAAGGATAAAAATAGGGCTTTAGAAATTATTTAGAGTAATACAACTTGAAGATTTTTTTTACTTTTCTGAAGCAGATATTCCCTCTTTCTATCAGTTAGCAGAATGCAAATTTTTATCCGGTTCCTGAATCTACATCCAAATTACTGGAAAATTATACATCAGTATACATAATTTTTCCAAATTTTGTGAAGCACTTTACAACTCAAGAGAGAAAGCAAGAGAGATCTGTGCAAAAATCCAGATATTAGGAAAAGGTGTGAACCTAAAATCATTTTATTAAAGATAATTATTTCCAAATATTTTGTGCATTAAGATATGTACAAAAATGCATGTGAAACTTTTACATATGCAAATTTTATGCACCCTTCATTGCAAACAAATTCAGAAAAGAGACCAGATAAAGTTATGGATGGAAAAATAGGATTATGAACATAAAGAAATTTGAAAATTTGTCTACTTTGAGTGATACTTGGGGATAGTATATTTTTTTAATTGGGTGTTCATATGAGGTGCTTTCATTCCAGTAATACAAGCCGTGGAAACACAGATTACCTTTATCTTTGCATGATTATGAGTCTTGGAATTAATAATATGTGGCATAGGACAAAAATAATTTTCTCCGCTGTGAGATAACGGTTAGCAACTACTGTTAGGGGAAAAAATCTTTCACAAACTAATAGAATTTTTTAGGAATCTGTAAATCAGAGTAGAAGAGGTTTACATAAATAGGAGCAGCATTTTATTTGGTAGTGTTTATATGGAAGTTCCCTACGGAATTACTGGCTAGATTCCCAAAAGAGCTACATTAGGGTAAACCATGTGTGGCCCTTAAGTTCCTTGCTGGGATCCCTCAGAGCCTTTTCTGACCAAGAAAGCTGAAAACTTCCCATACAGAAGTGGGCAGCACATGAAAAAGATGAGTAAGCTGTACAGTATAATAGGTATGTCACAGCTAATGTAAACTGAAATATCCCCATGTGACACATATGTATGTGATGTGAGCTTTGCAAATTTGGAACCTTTGGCCCCTGTAAAAGGTTATGTAACCCTTGACTATTAAATGATGGTCATTCTTAAAGTAAGCCATGATTTGGACAGTGTCTATTTTGCTGTTCATAAAAGGAGTCTATGACTTTATTAAGAAAGAAGAAAATGTGCCTCGCTGATTTTTGTATGATGTTAAAATGTAAGGTACATTACCATTCTGTTTTCTTTTGCAAAATGCCATTAGATTGTGAAAGAGTTTTCCTTAAAATGAATTATTCCTCTTGATGTGAAATTATTTTTTTAAAAAAATATTAATGGATAATGAAAAGCCATATGATTCAAAAAGCTTTCAATAAGGCTGTGTTGGAGGAAAAGCAATTATATGTTCACCACATTTGTTATAGCTTTTTCTAATGAGACTCATTAATGAGAATCATAATTGTTAGGTTTACAAATGGGGACTGTAGTTTTGTTACAGTTTATACTAAATTCCTTTACTGATTAAATTGAACTATGTAATATTGATTCTGTTCACAGATTAATACTATGTGAACAGTAAACCAAGATTTTTCAAAAACTATGATTCTTAACCTATAATGACCTAGTTTGCATACAGCATATCACTCATAATAAGTGGGGTAGCAAATCATGTTGAGGCAAAAGGTAACAAACCATGTTGTAGCTAACCATTATATATGAACCCACCATTATATTTATTACCTTTAAGTATAGCTTTATTCTTCCAATTTAGCTTATCAAGAGTTTATTTACAATAATATGTAGTTAGATCATTTAATGTCCTGTATTATTAAGTCTATAAGTAGAACTACTGTTAAATATTACTGATAATATGAGACTGCAGATATTATTATAGTATTATAAAAATAAGAACTGTAAATAATTCTCTCAATAATGGAGTAATCATTCTTAAATCTGTAATTCATTTGTCTGCTTTAGCTCTAGTTGCATTTTTCAATGTGGGCTAACACCCTAGAGTTAATTATTATGATTTATAAAAGTTATTTCTGGACTGCTTCTATTTTTGTCCTTAGATACTTCCATGTAATTCCTGAAACTTTAACTCTGGGTTTTCAGGGGAACATCAAGGTTATACCACTCATGCAACGTCAGATGACTGGAAACATTACATTTTTTATATTTCTGCCTTCTGAGGAAAAAGAGCATGGTTGGAGGCCTGAGCTTAGGCAGGCCAAAGCAATTTAGAGGAAGGTTACACAATAAGCAATTAACAGGAAAATGACTTTTCTGGCAGAAAAAAAAGGCAGGTAAGGCAAGGCAGCGTTTCTCAACCTGGGCAGCTTGAAGATGTGTTGACTTCAACTCAAGAAGGCAACTAAAGCTAAAGCAGACAAATGTTGGCTGGGGAATTCTGGGAGTTGAAGTCCATACGTTTTAAGTTGCCGAGATTGCACGGAGGTAAGGGAAGCTAAGGGAAGCTACATTGTACAGTGGGGCAATATATCGAATTTTAAATAAGGATTCACTGAGAAACTAAAGGCAGATTATAAGGGCGGAGGAAAAAGTAGGTCTTTAACAATGCAGAACAAAATGGCATGCCAGATACAGCTTTTTTTATGCCAAAACCTGCCAGAGGAACAATTCTGTGGAATATTTCAAAAGTATTCAGAACTTTCATTCCTCACAGGATTCCCCCCCCCCCGAAAATTTAACAATTCTTAAAATGGCCCATTAAAAAAAATAGCAAAAACTTGCCTCTGGGAAAACAAAGTGATTGCTGGTAGAGTTGGATAACATAAGGAAGAAGATTATGTTTTCTTTATGCAATAAATAAATAAAATAATAATATTTTTTTTTAAAAAATCCAAAGATTTGGTGTATATTATGCTCTGTACCACATTTATAATGTAAATAGAAATTAAGATGTGCAGAATTATGAAAGCAGAAACCCAGTTTCGAGTTGTTTTTTTTACTGACATGATATATGATTAAGACCAGTGGTAAAATCCAAATTTTTTTACTACTGGTTCTGTGGGCATGGTTTGGTGGGCGTGGTGTGGCTTGGTGGGCATGGTTTGGTGGGCATCGCAGGGAAAAGATACTGCAAAATCTCCATTCTCACCCCACTTCAGGGGAAGGATACTGCAAAATCCCCATGTCCCTCCCCACTCCTGGGGGAAGGATATTGTAAAATCTCCATTCCCATCCCACCCTGGGGCCAGCCAGAGGTGGCATTTGCCAGTTCTCCGAACTGCTCAAAAATTCCGCTACCTATTCTCCAGAACCTGCTGGATATCACCCCTGATTAAGACAGTCTGCAACTAGCTTTTTCACTTTTGCATAATACATGCATTCTAAATCCGAATCCCAAGGATTTTAGCAGAGGAAGTCAATGTATGGCTTTAATATTAAAGAAATTGATAACCCTTAAGTTAGGTATATACATTTCTTGATACATAGGTCAACATACTTGTGTCCTGTTAGTTGTGAAAAGATATCTGGAGCACCTCATAGCATCTTAGTGTATAACAGATCTCTCTTCTTTTAAGACATGAAGTTTCATAAAACTCAACATAAGGAACCAGAGTGCTGGTATGACTTAGCTTTGAACGTTCAGTCTGGAATCCTTATATTTGAATAAAGAGAGTTAAAATTCAAGGTTTAGAAACGGCTTTATCATACGATAAAGAAGGATTAGATGTGATTAATTTGTTTATGGTCTTATTAATTAGTATTGAAACAAGCAGATAGAAAGCAAAGCAATAGGAGGTTAAACAATTGTATTAAAACCAAAGAGAAATTCCCATAGATATATTGATGCTTCTCTAAAAAGGATTTAATAAAAGTATAAATGAGAAAAAAGTTTCAGAACATATTAAGATGACTGTAACATGAAACACCATGAATGGACACATGGAATGGTAACATGACAATAGACGCCAGGAACAATAGAAAACATGCAAAATGAAGGAGAGTTCCTCTGACCTGTGACCTCTGACCTGATCATTACCTCCTGCTTTTCCAATTAAATAAAAACTGAAGTAAGAAAGACAACATGTGAAGTTTCTCAGATTTCACAAGTCTAATGCGGTCATCAAAAGTTCTAAGCTTTATTCTACAGTAAATAGCTTAATAAGTTTGGGTTTCAGTAGATTTACTCCAAATTGGTTAATTTCATTTGGTTAATTTCTTATTTTGACATTTTTTTTAAAAGAAAAAGAATCTGTATTTCTCAAGTAAATGCATTATATTTCCAAGCAATTCTAATACAAAATGGCTTTATTATTACATCCTTGAAAATTCTATATTTTGTCAGTCCATATTAGCCAAAAAAATTAGCAAAAGTGATTTCATTTTGACATTACAAGTCTGTAATAAACCAAATAGTGAAAGTAACTATCGGCAACAGTGCAGAATGCGCCTAAAATAATTGGCCCATTCTGGAACTGTTGGTCTTTGCATTCAGCACTATTTGGATAAAGCTATGCTTTTATGCAATGGAAAAATTATATTTAAATTACTGTAGTGCGTTTTAAACTGCCCAGCATATTAAAATAATTGCAAATCATGCAGCCGTTGATGTATTTCTATTGGTTTTTGCTTAGCCTGTACCAGCGCTATATTTCTTCATGCAAATTTTGTAGCTGGACATGCTTATGAGGGGGATCTAGCTTTAAAATGCTAGGCAGGGAATAGGGGAGACTGTCAAAGGTCAAGCAGGACTCAGAAAGATGAGGAAAGACTACCGACCAGCCATCTGTTTCTCCTTACTCCTTCTCTTTTTCTCCAGGCGTTTGAGCCTCTTCTCTTCCCGTCTCTTGGCTTCTTCTTCTTCCTGATGCTGACGACATTTATGGAAATTCTCCACCACGACCCCCACAAACATGTTGAGCACAAAGAAGGCAACGATCAGCAGGAAGGAGATAAAGTAGAGGAGCATCCAAGGGTTATAGTTCATGACTGGCTATAACATAAAGGGAGAAGCCATTACGCTCTATCAGGATTAGAATTTAACACTGTCCATGATAAATTTAGGAACTCTAAATATTTGTATTTCACAATATTTGAAAGAGTAATCTCCAAAGCAAATACACCTATTCCTTGGGCTTCTGGCAATGTTGTACCAAAACACCTACCTGTTGGTCTACTCCTACAGCATCCAATCCATCGTACATTATGTCCACCCACCCGTCTTTAGATGCCAGAACAAATAAAGACATTAAAGCCTAGAAAAACAAAAGGAAACAAAGCATTTTAGCTTAGAGGGAAGACAATATAATATATATCGTATTCTACCTGCCTCTTGACTCATGTTTGAATTTGTACTTTTTTTGTTTTTCAACCTAGTTGATAATAATAAGCCAAAGCTTCTTACCAGGAAAAAAGGTATCAAGTATTCACAAGAAGGGTTATTCCAACAAACAGGAACAACCTTACTTTTAACCTCCATCCATTTTTACTTAACCTTTATCATACTGCTGAAATATGATTTCCTGGGGTAATAGTAAATTTATTTATTTAGAAGATTTCTATGGCCACCAGTGATTCTCAGTGACTCTGGGTGGCTTACAAAGAATAAAAACCCAATATAAAAGAATAAAAAACTCCCTGGTGACAATACACAATCAATCAAGCCATTTGATGGGCTCCATCCCATGCTGAGTTCTTCAGGCCATTGCCAAAACCAGGCCTTCAGGGCCTTATGAAAGTATGTCGGGGGGGGGGAGGGAATGGGACGGGGATGGACAGAACAGTCTAATCTCTGCAGGGATATTATTCCAAAGGGAGGGAGCTACCACAGAGAACACCCTTCTTCTGGGTCCTGTCAGTTGTACCTCCTTAGGAGATGGGACCTGCAACATGCCTTGCCTCCCCACTCTAGTGGGTTGGGTGGATATAATCAGGAAGAGATGGTCCCTTAGATCAGGGGTCTCCAACATTGGCAACTTTAAGACTTGTGGATGTCAACTCCCAGAATTCCTCAGCCAGCTTTGGACTTCAACTCTCTTTGCTGGCTGAGGAATTCTGTGGTCCTAAGCCATGAAGGGCTTTAAAGGTGACAACCAACTTCTTGAATTGCACCCGGAAGCAAATCGGCAGCCAATGTAGCTCCCACAGGAGAGCTGACACATGTGCACACCTGAGCCTACACAAAACCATGTGGGTCACTGCATTTTGAACCAATTGGTGCTTCTGAATGCTTTTCAAGAGCAGCCCCATGTAGAACGCATTGCAATAGTCAAGATGGGACTGAGAGAGTAGATGTGCGGGGTTCATGGTTTCAGTCTCCTGAGTCTGAAGTTTTCTTCATGCTAGTTATGAGTTTGATTACACTATTGTACAGTCATTAAATGTCTAAAGAGTGTGGGCTGGTCTTAATTGTGATAGGAATGTATACCAAGTGAGGATCTTTAAATGTAGACAGTACGACTAGGAAGTGCTGTAGATGATTTGCTATGGTGGCTGCAATATATACAAGGTTATTTCACATCTGCTTTGAATCAAAGCAAATAAGGGAGCACTGCAGCAGATTACCGTTCCATCAGTACCTGGCCAAGATTATCAAAATTATACTTGTGCCGGATCCATTTATAGTTGGCTTCTGCACAGTCTGACCTGTTGGTAATGTTCCTTGTGTCTTCCCCTTGGCAGACAAAAAACTTCCCCTTGAACAGCTGTGAAAAAGGAGAGAATACTCGGTCACTGAAATAATACGGGGAGGTCTTTTTCTGTAGACTTCCACAGTGTACCATTTGCAAATGTCTGATTTTTAAGATCTTCCTACAGAGAGGCCCATCTGCATCTCACTTGAGCTTTTGGCATTAGCCCAAAGCTTTTAGCCATCCAATTTTATGGAAGGAATACTGTAGCATTGCTGTTTTTAAGCTGCTGCTATTCTTGATTTATACAGGTTTTGCTGTATAATTACAGCATTATACATTCTATACTTTGCTGGTTTTCAAAAACATAGTAATGATTTAGTATGAGCCCATCCTATTTCACTAAAAGGTAGCATTAAAATACTTACAATAAATGAACAAAGCGAATTTTTCAGTAAAGAGGTCATGGCTGAACCTTTCTCAGCTTGGAATCCCCTTAAAAATGACCGAATCTTAGCTCTTGCACAGTCTGCATGGCTTTACAAAACAAGTTGTACAATGCTCTTGTAGGGTGAGGTTTTCAGATTGAAATACGACAAATATATTTGAAAACCAGGCATTATCTGAAAACTCCAATCAATGCAAAGATTGGTATTCTGTAAAGTTTTTCAAGAATATTATCCCTTTGCCAATAGAGCTTTGGCATTCTGTTAAATAACCATCTGAGTGCGACACAATGCTAGAATACATATACTTTCATCTTACTTATTACAAGTATTTATCCCATATCTTGCCTTGGAATTACCCTCTATGCCAGTGATGGCTAACCTTTTCTGGACTGAGTGCCCAAAGCGCATGCGCCTAAACCCCCAAACTGCAACGCACATGCAGGCCCTGCACATGTGCCCCGCCCCCATGATTGTGCATGCGCCTCCTGTATGTACCCTGCCCCCTGTGCATGTGTGCACACCTCCCTGATTGCCTCCCTCCCTACGCATGCACCCCCCCAAGCTCCCCACATATGCACAGCAGAGACCCGAAGATCAGCTGGCTGGTGGGTGGCGTGTGGGCATGTGCAGCAGAGCTGAACTGGGGCAACGGCTCACGTGCCCACAGAGAGGGTGGTGCATGCTACCTCTGGCACTTGTGCAATAGGTTCGCCATCACGGCTCTATGCTAATTTATGTTCCAGGTGAAATTTGCAGTTCAGCCTTAATAGATACTTTAACACAAATAAGCATAAAGACAATCCATAGTTGGCTAGAGGCAGTGGGTAAGATGGTTCTTAAAGATTTGAGTACCCCTCCTCCTTTTTAATGATTATATTTTTCCAGCGGTCAACTATCTACCCTGGGAGCTGCCAAGCAGGACATGAGGGCACTAGCAGTCTCCTGCCCTTGCCTCTTAGCAATTGGTACTGTCTTAAAAACTGGTGCTAAAACATAGCTTTCATGATCAGTAGCAGCTAAAAAGCTTATTATCTCTTCTTTGGTCTGCAAGAATGGTAGAAATAAGTCAATGGACTTATTAGTATAGCTGTGAAGGCCACCGGGGAAGTAATAAGAGACTAGGTTTATAGATGGTGGTGTGCACATTCTTGAGGAAGAAGCATTTATCTCTCAACTTGAAAGAGGCAATGGTGTGCCTCCTTCTTAAGAATATGTCCTGACCCAGCTATTTTATACAACTATTCCCTGGCTCTAACTTTATATTTTTAGACAGTACACTATAGGGAAGGTTTTGAAAGGTGGTCAGCATAAAGCTATAGATTATTTAGACCTTTGTTAATCAGGATTCATGCCTGACTCTGGGATGGAAATCAGAATGTTCGCCCTGTTGGATGATCTTCAGCAGGACTGGGATGGAGCATGTGGCTAGATTTTTTCTGAATCCCTTGGTAGCTTTCATTGCCTTCAAATATGCTACCCTTCTGGACCAACTGAGACGACTAGGAATGGGAGATACTGTGTTGAAGTAGTCTCCTCCTTTTCCCCCTAAGTGTTTTATTTTATTAAGTGATAGTGGGGGGACAGGTTGAACTTTCAGCTACTCCAGAGTGGGTTCCCAGAGGGCTCAGCCCTCTTCTACTTTTTAGTAGGAAATATGAAACTGCTAGAAAAAGTCATCTGGGTTTGGATCATCCCCACCCTGTTGGACTTCCAAACAAGGTGCAAAGACGAGGCTCTTCAGGAAATCATTAGGGACGATGGAGATTTATCTGTCAACCTTAGATGGCACAGTTAGCAAAAATATTTGTTAGATTATAATGGTTTTAATCTTGTTGTTGCTTAATGTAAACTGCTCAGAAATAATAGGAACTGAGTGGCATAGAAACTATAGTAAATGAATATAACATGATCTATTCAAGGTCAACCCTCCCCCAATTTTTTAGGGAAACTTCATTTCAACTATTGTCAGAAAAATCCTGGAATTTACTTTTTTAAAAGTGAAAATATTTACATTTTGCCTCTCCTTAGATTTATGGTATATTACAAAGCACTTAATAAAACCTTTAAGTCAGCCACACTGTATGTCCTTTAAAAAATGTAGACATTAATTCACTAAGAACCACAAGGAGATTAAAGTGGAAATTAAATTCATGAGTTCAGTTATCAAAACCTGTTCAGACAAATGGAACTTAAGATTCTTTTTTCTCCCAAAATTTCAGCAAGGGGAAGAACTGATGCGCCACTTCCAAAAGGAGAGATTAAAGCCTCAACCATATTACTGATGAAGCTGTGATTTGCATAGCTGTTGTTATGACTGCTTCCAGGAGAGAAGCGACACAAGGCAAGCTAGCTGAACAACAGCCATGTATAAAGAGAGTGGCTTCCTTTTTAAACTAGAATTTAATCCTACTTAAATAAACATGATGTAGTGGCTGCTAGGTTAAATAAGAGACAAGAGTGCACATCTGAAAAAGTGACACAGAAGGGAGAGTTTTGAAAAGTGCTGCTCCTCCTACTTGAGCAGAGACCTCAGCTGAAATTCTTCATACAGATAGCAGAGAAGGCATCGACATCACTTTGTGTTGAAACAAGCCAAACAACCCTTAAGACTTGATTTCAACAATGTCAGATGTGATTATCAACCAGGAGAAAACTATAAAAATCCCAGGGGATTAATTGTGTCACATATTCAATGGCAAACATGAAGTGGCAGAGCATGACAGCTATTATGATAGATGGAACAGAGTGGCCTGTATTAGCCTAAGCTGAGATCCCTTCACTTTTTTTTTATCGAGTGACAGCAGGTCCTAGCATGGTCATGCCTTGTTTCCCTATGGCAAGGCACTATTCTCATCAGCTTTTAAAATATCACCTCTTTATCTGAACTCTAGAATAAATGTCAAACCTGTGAGCAGTCCAAATAATAGGGATCAGCACACAGAGTGACAGATCTCACATAAGGTGGCATTTTATTTTATTTTACCTAGGGGAAGTAACTGGGTGGTAGCCGCATAGCAAGCATCAACAGTGAGTGAGTTCTCCTATCTTAATCATAGTTGGGCACTAATTCTACTTTCTTAATTAAACTCCTTCGAACCAAACCAAACAGCAAACTCCTTCAAAACAAAACGAACTAACCAGATTCTTATCATAGTGTCTATGACAATAATTTGCTGTTGTTTAGTCTACAGCAATGGAAGATAAGACAGAACCCAGGAATCAACATATTTGGAAAGAGTTCCAGGCAAGGAATAGAATATCCAATAGACAATTCTTGTGTTTGGGAAGTGGGACTGATTGATTGATTGATTGACTGATTACATGCTATCAAGATTGTGCCAACTCTTTAAGATCACATCAGTAGACTTTCTCCAGAGAAAGTCCTCTGTCCTCTGATCCTCACCTTTCTGGTTTCCTAATGGTACATCCCTTGCCATTATAATAAAGTTCCTCCTTCTTGCTGATGATCATTCTTCCATCTTCCACCATTGTGAAATTCTCAAGGGATTTGAGTCTTTATATAATGTGTCCAAAATATGATAACTTGTCCCTTGTTTGAGAACATTAGATTAACTTGTTCAACCATTTGTTTATCTCCAAAGTCTTCTCCAACACCAGAGTTCAAAAACATTAATATTCTTTCTTCTATCTTGTGTTTTCAAAGTTCAATTTTTGCTTTCATAGTATATTACCAGAAGACTTGAAGGACCAGGCTTAGGACCAATTCTCCTGTAGAAAATCTATGTGATCACTAAAAGTTGACACCAGTTTGATGGCAGTTAATCAAATGTCCATGTTATTATCAATTTTAAGGTCGGTTGTTGTATACGTTGTCATTAGTTTGATCTTGTGATTGAAATGTTCAATGCCAGCACACTTCAATCTGCTAATGCCTAAAATGTCAATAGGTAGAACTTTTTGTCTTTTACTATGCTGAGTTATTCCATGTTCATGCTATGAAACATTCTATGTTTCCACTATAATTTTCTCTTTGCAGCTCATTTTTCTCCCCATTGCATCAGCAATTAAATATCCAGAAGGCTTTATAATCTGGCCGTGTCATATATACCATTGTTACTTCAAAGGACCCTCAAGTCTTCCTAAGTAACAAGTTGAGTATCATCTGACCTGATGGGTATACCATCTGGCACTATATTATCAATCATTTTATATGATCTGTCTATGTTGTTTTCTTGGTAAAATATAGGACTGCTTTACCTTTCCTTGCACTGTTTGAAATAATGCCTTTTGCCATTGTTGTTAAAGTGATCATTCAACATGTTCCCATATTGCTGCTTCCCTTCATAGGCAAGCTTTAACTGGTCAGCTAGTGTCACTTTGAGATCTTGAGTGACGCTGTGGGGGAGTACATGACATGAAAGCCAGCCGGGTGATCTTAAGCCAGTCACTGTCTCTCAGCCCTATTCACCTCATAAGGTGGCTGTTGTGTGGAAAGTAAGAGGAGGAAGGTGTATTGGATATGTTTGCCACCTTGAGTTATTTATAAAAATAATAAAGTTGGAATACAAACAAACACCCTTGGTATATATTCTCTGCAGTCTTTACTCATCCCTCCCAGGAGCTTCCATCCCCACCATGAGGCAGCATAGCAGGACTTGGGAAGGAAGAAATGGCACTAAATATGGCTAAATATAAGGCTTACAAATGCTGAACATGAGCTCTGGTTTAGTTACAAGGATAAAACAGATATAACCAATTATGTATCAGCACATTTCTCCATAAATAATATATGAAGAGAACAGATGGGCATATTATTAAGTTACTATGAATCTTGCAATCAATTAAAAAACAAACCACTGGCATTATAAAAAAAATGTGGAATGAGCTTCAATTTCAGTTGTTTTCATTCCACGTTTTGATTGGCTTACAAAGAATGCTCATCCATATTATTATATTTAATAATCCTATGGATTTTTTTCTATAGAGATCATGTATTCATCTAAAAGGAGGAGAGTTCTGAATTTAACTTTCAAAAAAGTAGATAGAAAAAAAAATTGAAATCCCTGCACAATATCTTTCTTGTTAATCTAGTACAGAGGTCTTCAAACTTGGCAGTTTTAAGACTTGTGGACTTCAACAGAGTTGAAGTCCAAATGTCTTAAAGCTGCCAAGTTTGAGGACCCCTGATCTAGTATGTCAAATCTAGCTGACACCAATGAGGATTCCAATGCCCTCTACAACTGTGCATTGATGTGTATGTATGTATGTATGTATGTATGTATGTATGTATGTATGTATATAAATAAAGAGAAGAAACTGATGAAGAGGAAGGGAAGGGAAGGAAGAGGAAGGGAAGGGAAGGGAAGAAATTGGCATCAATGAGAACCATTGCACGATCATGCAGAGTAACATAAGTCACTCTCACCATAGGCATGCACAGGGCCCAAATCTTATAATTTTGTAAAATCACTTGTAGGCTCCACCTCTCATGAGAGACATCAGTATTAGAAAAGACTGATGTGTATGAAATTCTCAAACCCTCTGTACTGAATGAGTAAAGTAAAGTTCTCAGGAAACTCTACCCAGAACTTACCTGGACTCCCAAGATGCCAAAAATGATGAAAAAAGCACAGCAAATCACAACAATGTTTCCAATGGGTTTCAGGGAGGACATCAGGGTTTCCACAACCAACTTCAGCCCTTGTGCTCGACTGATGACCCTGAAAGGCAAAAATGGCTTATTAATAGAATCCTATGACACGAGACTAGCAAACCACTTGGAAGAAAGCCTTCAAACTGTTCGCAAAGGACTAATTGATACATAGAAGAGGAAACATGGAACTGCCATTGTGCCAATGAGAGAGTTCCATTGACTGACACCTATTCTGTTCAATAGACTTCAGTCAGGCCCAAGAGAGGAAAACTCTGTCTATATTAGGGAATACATTTATTCAACAATGATAATGACTACAGGAGGCTAAATGTGATGCACGGTGTTATCACTTTACAATAGCTTAGAAAGGCTGTATTTCTTCTTAATGTCTGTGTATGTTTTTTTTTACTTTTCCTCTATGCCACAAAAACTTTGTTTTATTGAATTAAATAATTCCTGTAGGAGTCTGTTCCAAAAAGTGACTTGCTGGCTGAGGATTCTAGGAGTTGAAGTCCATATATCTTAAGGTGGTCAAATTTGAAAAACACTTTCATAAAAGTATTTACTATCATAAATGGAATGCATATTGCAGAACACCTGACTTCTCGGGTTATAGCCTTGAGACAATTTTTAGGAAAAGCAGCTCGTGTAAAGTAGTAGTTAAGATGCTGGAGTAGAGAAACCCATCTTCAGCTATGAAAACCAACAGGGTGACACTGACTAACAAACAGCAATCAGCTGAAGCTACCCCACAGGGCTGTTGTGAATTAAAATTGGAGGAGGGAATACTGTCCTCATTGAACGACTGGAGGAAAGGCAGGATATAAGTCTGTCTGTCTATCTGATTCCTTAGCTCCACTTTGAAGAGCAGATAGGACAGTGGCAAAACACCCAAAGTAACTGGATTGCAGGGTAATATAATAACTTTGCAGCTGTAGACATTTCTGAACAGTTGAATTTACAGATTTTGCCAGATGCTGACCTAAAAAAAGACATTTTGCCCACAGGCATTTTAAAACAATAGAATCTAGAGATTGTTAAGAGCAGCACATGCAACTTATATTTTTTCCCCTTAAGGCTACTGCCAACAAAAATGTCAAAATATGAGGAAAATTCTATATCAAAGGACAAAAATTGCAGGCAGTAGCCTAATATATTTCACACAGTGGAGAACCTCCTAAGATTTATTTTATTTTTGATGTGTCTCTGTAATGGGATGTGGGAATAACCTTGGGAGGCAGAAGGAAGAGCCACAGCCTAGACAATGATGTGGTCAGAGAAATCTGAGTCCAAAGAAAGGAAAGGACTGGAAAAAGTGACTCAGAAGGGAGTCCCTAGTTTTCTGGGAAGTAAACTAGTCTCCTCCCTAGTTTTATGGGAAGTAAAGGCAGGGGAGGTGAGGGAAACACTTTCAGACATTCAAGATTCTGTTACTACAATCTGTTACTCATGGTTTGGGTTTCCAGACTGGTTACCCCAAAGATGCTTTTTTTCAAGAGGCAACTGGACTTTCTGGTTTTTTTTGAAGACGTTTCACTTCTTGGATGAGAAGCAAAACATCTTCAAAGAAAAACCTGAAAGTCCAGTTGCCTTTTGAAAAAGCACCTTTGGGACAACCATGACCTGGATGACTGAGAATTTCCATAGACATTTCATATCTGAATAACCTTGAAGTGCTGACAGTCTATATACTTTAGCTTAGTTTCCTATAACGTGGACTATCACATCTCTTCTCTTATAATGAGCAAAACTGAATAAACAAATGAAACCTTCACAACCATAGTTTTACTAGTTCCCTCATTGATAAGTTAAACAGTAATCTGTTTGTCAACATGGACAATACACAATTTAGCTTCATATTCATATTACAGAGCACAATTCAACAGTCAAGTCCCTTCTTTCCTGTGTACAAAGGTTTATTTCTGTCAAAAGTCAAAATTAATGATTATAATCTAACTACTACCACTAGTGATACTATTTCCTATTTGGGATTTCTGAGCATTGCTGCCCATTAAGAGAAATCTCTTTCCATCGCTTATTTTGCTCCTTTTCCAAAGCTCTAATAATGCATATTTTTTCTACATTTCATTTCTCATTAAAAGCTGAAATTAATATAGTACTGTTTGTCATCCTTTCCTCGTCATTATTTGCATTCCCAGGAAAACAGACTTTGGCTGATCTCAGTAGAAGGACTTTCTTATTTTAATTGTCCTCAAATGCTTTAATTCTCGCATAGTTGTGGTGTGACATTATTTCACCTAAATATGAAGCAGCATTAATCAATCAGATTTATATTTTCAGTGCCATTTGTTAATTCTGATTTTATTTTGGCTGATCCATTACCTGCTGTATTAGCCTTTAAAATTGGCTAAATGTCCTTTGGAATTACTATTTCAAGATTTTTGAGTTAAACAGATTTGTAGGAACATATTTGGGCAACCAATCAGGTCATTTTTTCCCAAGCAAAATTACAAATACCTATAATTATTAAATATGCAACAGGATATTTTGTCCTTCCTTCTTTATGCACCAATATACCCAACTGCATAGTTTAACAGTAATTCTACAAATCACTATTATGAATGTGCTTCCATATATGCAATAATGAATTCCATATCCCTAAAGTAACTCTGGATGGGTCAGACATACTTAGCTTCAGAACAGATCAAACATATTATGGTAGCTTCAGAAAGGTCATTCAGCTCCTGTGAGTACAAGAGTGTTGTATGAAGCTACCTGAATACTTAATCATATCATTGGCCCATCTTACCCAATTCTTGGGAAGTTTCAACATACAATTTAGCGTGACTTGAATAAATTGAAACAAGCTTCAGGCTTGAATGCTCCCCTCTTTTCCTTCTATACAAATGTGAAGAAAAGTTTGGAACATTTCACTTCCTTTCTATATATTTGAAGTTTGTTCTATTACTCGAGCTAACAGACGGCTACTAAGTATAGTTGATGGACATGAAAAATCTGTGTTTAATGTAAATGAGAGCCAAATCGTTTTGAAGTCTTCTTTGTAGCCATATGGAAAAACAGAAACTCCACGTTCCAGACTGATAGCTTAGAATGATTTAAATATGAGATGGTTGCTATGTCACTTCCTCTCAAAGTATTTATTTATTTATTTATTTACATCCCAATTTTATAATTTTTATAAATAACTCAAAGTGGTGAACATATCCATCACACTTTCCTTCTCATCTTTTCCCCCTCAACAACAACCCTGTGAGGGAGATTGGGCTGAGATAGAGTGACGGGCCCACAGCTGGCTTACATGGCTAAGATGGGACTTGGACTCACCGTCTCTAGCTTTCTAGCCTGGTGCCTTAACCACTAGACCATTCATTTCCTTAGACATTTCTTGAACCTGGGTCATTTTCCAGGCATAGCTGAAGCCTTCTTCTCAGAAACAGCAGAGATCAATATCACAGAAATTCAGATTCCACCTTCTATCTCTCTATAGGACTACCGAAAGTCATATTTTGCATTCTCCATGGGGACGAATACAGATGAATTCTAATTTTATACAGTACATTTTACAAGTCAATCTCCAGAAATGAATAAAATTCCTCACAACTCTCCCCTCCCTTTTATTTGATTTGATCTTAACCTTTGATCTGAGTTATACCTTTCTAAACTCTCCTTTTACTAGCTCACTGTGCTACATTTTTGCAGGACCTTTAATCATGGAGCACCCTAATGAACAGGCAAGGAAATGGCATAACCGTGGATTACAGCCTTACAGTTGGGTAGTGTCAATATTGCAGTCAATAGGGAAGGTAGAGGTGTATAAGAAAACCAAGCAGCCGAAATGACTACATTAAGGCTTCCTAAAGTCAAGAAGAAGCACATGAACAATTGATGTTAATAGTGACTTGCTCTGTGATAGTGGCCCCCCTCCCTGAACCACTCTTCTACTACCTGTCATATTCCTATGTTAGGACTATAACTCTCAAGCATTTGGTATTATGAGGGTACCAGATTAGAAAACAACAACAACACAGATTTAACAATTACAGTTAGTCCTTGATTTACAACAGTTCTTTTAGTGAACTTTTAAAGTTACAAAAGGTACTGAAAAAAGTGATTTATGACCATTTTTCACATTTATGGCCGTTGCAAAATCCCCATGATCACATGACCAAAATTCAGTTGCTTGGTAATATTTATGACGGTTGCAGTATCCCGGGTTCATGTGATTCCCTTTTGTGACTGTCTGATAAGCAAAATCTCTGGAGAAGCCAGATTCACTCAACCACCATGTTATTAACTTAACAATTTCAGTGATTCACTTAAGATATGTCATATAATGGGACAAAATTCACTTAACAACTGTTTTGCTGAAATGTTGGGCTCAGTTGTGGTCATAAGTCAAGGACTACCTATATTTCAGTACACTCACATTCCTACAATCGGACAGTATATGAACCACTACTACATTAATATTTACTGTAGAGATGTTTGCACCCATAATAAACTAATACGATATTACAGAACCTAAGGAAATCATAACTAAATTTATTTAAACCAATATATTAAATGTGTAAAAAGATAAGGTTGTGGATTTGATATAACTTTTTTATAAATAGTAACAAACTTGTTAGGCATTTGCAAAAATGTAAGAAATACAATCCTAGGAAGATGCTTTTGAACTGAGGTTCAAAATAGCTGTTATTTCTACTCCTCCCCTAGATAATTGCCTTGATCACCATCATGGCATTATAAAAGATAAAGACCAAGTTAATAGAATACCCTCCCCCAAAAGAATCAACCACATAACCAGACATTATCTTAAGGATAAAATATGCAGGGGATTAATGGGACATTGGTTGCTATTAACCCCTATGCAGTCCCTGTAACAGTTAATATTGACACAAATTAAATAATGATAAATGACAAATTAAGGCTTACAAGACAAGTTATAACTTGACTGGTGAACTGTATCACACCAGGCCTACATCCTATTGAAAGGAAGGATGTTTTGAGATAGTGAGGGCAGAAAACAGAATTATTTGGGGAATTGCTTAGAGGAAGGAAAAGTTTTGTTCTGGAAAAGAAAGG